GGGGGCGGCCTGAAAGACAGCCGTAAGCCACACGCCTCGTTCCGGCGAACCGAGGTTGTGCGTACGCACGAGGAGCAAGAGGAGGGGAAAGGCACGGCGGAAGGTGCACGTTCCCACGCAGCTCACAATCAGGGGGGGAAATCCCAGACACGCACCGCGCGGCTATTGAGAATGAGGAGTCACGTGCCGAGTTGGGGTGATTTGGGGGGGGCTCTGAGCCTGTCGGACATATTGGCTGCGCAACGGGGGCACGCCCCCAGAATTTCACGCGCTCCTCATATTCCAGAGCACTTTAAATTATACGCATTTAAGTTTTCGGCGAGACAGAGACGGATCTACTGATACAACAAGGGAAAGGAAGACAGTAAAACAATGCTTAGAGATAAGCCTGTGACAACCAGAACTGCCCAGTCCAGTGGTTTCACTTCAGTTGTGTGGGGCTTGTTAATAAACCCTCTGGTGACACGCCATGGTTTTGCCCTTGTTGTGCAGAATAGGTTTTTCCTATTTCTTAAAATTGTATTATTGTTATTGCTGTGTGCCTTTGCAGTGTTTTTTTGTACATTTGCACTAATAACAGTCTTATTTGTTATTATTATTTATGTTATAATTTATTTTATTATGTTGTGCATGTTTACATGCTGGAAACAGTACTTTGAATGCACACGTTGTTTTGCAGTGTTTTGTGTCCCTTTGCACTAAGAAAAGTATGACTCTTATGATCATTTTTGCCTATGCTGTGCATGTTTACATGCTGGAAACAGTACTTTGAATGCACACGTTGTTTAGCAGTGTTTTGTGTCCCTTTGCACTAAGAAAAGTATGACTCTTATTATCATTTTTACCTATGTTGGGCATGTTTACATGCTGGAAACAGTACTTTGAATGCACACGTTGTTTTGCAGTGTTTTGTGTCCCTTTGCACTAAGAAAAGTATGACTCTTATGATCATTTTTGCCTATGCTGTGCATGTTTACATGCTGGAAACAGTACTTTGAATGCACACGTTGTTTAGCAGTGTTTTGTGTCCCTTTGCACTAAGAAAAGTATGACTCTTATTATCATTTTTACCTATGTTGGGCATGTTTACATGCTGGAAACAGTACTTTGACTGCACACGTTTGTAACAAAAAAAATATTCATTTCTCAATAAATATTGGTAAAACATATCAAGTTGTTTCATGCATTTATTTAAAAATAAAAGATACAGTAAAGAATAAGGTACTCAAACAACACTTTTGCACATGTTCGTTAAGGCACAGCAAACAATGACAATCTTATCCAAAGGCATTAGGTTTTCACCCTCACATTTGACAAGCATGTGCACAGGTACAGTTGAGTGTAAGAATTTGAATTCTCAATTGAGAATGAGGAGTTGACGTCACGGCACAGAGTCCCCCCTCCCCATCCCCCCTTTGCCGACATATTGGCTGCGCACCGGTGGCGGCAGTACAGTTTGTTTACGTGTGTTGTGAACGCGGTAGTAGCGGAGGTTCTTGCTATTCCGCACTGTTTTATCATGCCTGGAAATAACTGCTGCGTTAAAAACTGCTCCAATACCTCCCACGATGGATATGGAAAACCTAGTAACAACGGGATACGGTTTTTTAGGTTACCGAAATGGAAAAAGCATCAAGGGGAGCAATTCTCTGACCTGACAAGGAGACGTCGGATTGCTTGGTTGGCTGCAATTAGAAGAAAGGACCTTACTTTCGATCACACACCCCTGTCGACGAGAGTGTGTTCTCTGCATTTTCACTCTGGTACGTTCTCTAAAAATGTATTTATGTAGTTGTCTCTTAAAGCTAGGAAGTGTAGGTTAGCATATGTTATTATGGTTTCTGTAGTGCCTTTGTCTCTGTGTCTTTGTTACCCTCTCAGGCTGTTTCTTACTTAGCACGTGTTCTGCGAGGTCTTTGCCAGTGTAAAGCATAGATTACATAGATTGTACACATAATCTAATTATTCTGTTGTACATAAACCTTCATATGACATTATGAGGTGACCTAAAAAGTACTTGAGATGCTGTTCATGACATAGTTGCCAGTTTAAAGCATTGATTACATAGATTGTGTAAATTGTTATATTAAATATATGTTGTTATTATTCTCGTGTAGGTAAACCAGCATATGAGATGTTGGAGAACCACCCTGACTGGACACCATCCCTGTTGTTAGGCCACAATGATGTACAAAAAACAGATAAAGCGAGATATCAGCGGCAAGTAAGGCGCAGGTCCCTGCCACTGGAGCGGCAGCCACCTCCAGCCCAACACCAGCCGCAGGCGCCGCCGCCTCCAGCCCTAGACCAGCTGCAGCCGCCACCAGCCCTAGACCAGCTGCAGCCGCCACCAGCCCTAGACCAGCCGCAGGCGCCGCCGCCACCACGCCCTAGGCCAGCCGCAGGCGCCGCCGCCACCAGCCCTAGACCAGCCGCAGGCGCCGCCGCCACCAGCCCTAGACCAGCCGCAGGCGCCGCCGCCACCAGCCCTAGACCAGCCGCAGGCGCCGCCGCCGCCAGCCCTAGACCAGCCGCAGGCGCCGCCGCCGCCAGCCCTAGACCAGCCGCCAGCTGACCCGGACATGGAATGTGGACTCTGCACATCTAGACGAGATGTTATCAACAATCTTCTTGAAGAAAACAGACAGCTGAAGCGTGAGCTTGATACGTACCGGATGAATGAGAACTTTCTGAGTGGTGATGATAACACAGTGAAGTATTACACGGGGCTTCCAAACTTTGCATTGTTCCAGACACTTCTACTCTACCTAACTCCAGATCTGCCTCAAGGTAGAATGAAGAAGCTCTCACCCTTCCAGCTTGTCCTATTGACTTTAATGCGCCTCAGACTGGACCTTCCAATACAGCACCTCAGCCATCTGTTTAGAGTACATAGGACAACAGTCGCCGATGCCTTTCACCATACCCTTGGTGTGATGTACGCACAGCTGTGTCCATTGGTGCACTGGCCAAGTAGGGAATGCTTATTGACCAGTATGCCACACCAGTTTGTGGAGTCATTTGGGAACAATGTGGCTGCCATTGTGGACTGCTTCGAGGTGTTCATCGAGAAACCTTCCAATGTACTAGCAAGGGCACAGACTTTTTCTCAATACAAACACGCATACACTATGAAATACCTAATCGTGATCACGCCCCAGGGTGTAATTTCCTTCATATCGAACGGGTGGGGTGGGCGCACAAGCGACAAGCATATAACCGAGCAAAGTGGTTTCCTGAACAAGCTGTTACCAGGTGACATTGTGCTGGCAGATAGAGGCTTTAATATAAGAGAACATGTGGGCATGATGTGTGCTGAAGTGAAAATACCTACATTCACCAGGGGTCGTGCTCAGCTTGAGGCGAAAGATGTGGAGGAGACTAGGGCCATAGCACATCTCAGAATTCACGTGGAGAGGGTGATCGGTGTTGTGCGCAACAAATTCAAATTCTTACACTCAACTGTACCTGTGCACATGCTTGTCAAATGTGAGGGTGAAAACCTAATGCCTTTGGATAAGATTGTCATTGTTTGCTGTGCCTTAACGAACATGTGCAAAAGTGTTGTTTGAGTACCTTATTCTTTACTGTATCTTTTATTTTTAAATAAATGCATGAAACAACTTGATATGTTTTAACAATATTTATTGAGAAATGAATATTTTTTTTGTTACAAACGTGTGCAGTCAAAGTACTGTTTCCAGCATGTAAACATGCCCAACATAGGTAAAAATGATAATAAGAGTCATACTTTTCTTAGTGCAAAGGGACACAAAACACTGCTAAACAACGTGTGCATTCAAAGTACTGTTTCCAGCATGTAAACATGCACAACATAATAAAATAAATTATAACATAAATAATAATAACAAATAAGACTGTTATTAGTGCAAATGTACAAAAAAACACTGCAAAGGCACACAGCAATAACAATAATACAATTTTAAGAAATAGGAAAAACCTATTCTGCACAACAAGGGCAAAACCATGGCGTGTCACCAGAGGGTTTATTAACAAGCCCCACACAACTGAAGTGAAACCACTGGACTGGGCAGTTCTGGTTGTCACAGGCTTATCTCTAAGCATTGTTTTACTGTCTTCCTTTCCCTTGTTGTATCAGTAGATCCGTCTCTGTCTCGCCGAAAACGTAAATGCGTATAATTTAAAGTGCTCTGGAATATGAGGAGCGCGTGAAATTCTGGGGGCGTGCCCCCGTTGCGCAGCCAATATGGCCGACAGGCTCAGAGCCCCCCCCAAATCACCCCAACTCGGCACGTGACTCCTCATTCTCAATAGGCTACACTCCGGGGGGGGGGAGGAGACAGCCCGGTCGCTCCCGGCAGACCGACACAAACCTGATTGAATAAGCCTGAGGTGCACGGAGGTCAGGGACCATGTAGCCCCGACCCGGTCCGGCGGCAGCACAACAAGACGCTGTCACAATGCCAAAAAGACAGATACGCGTGTGCGCGCGCCACGCGCGCGTCCGAATTTAAAAGCTATGTTGGTGACGCCCACGGCGCACCGTGAAGGCAGCCACACCACCACACCAACATGCTACACTAGGATACAGTTATGAATAAAGTATGGAATGCATCGACCAGCCTTACTTACTTTGGGCCCAGTTTTGGCTCAGTCCAATCATGTATTCATTTTGTTGTTCAAAGTCAATTTAGATCAAGCTATAATTTGGTTTAAAGAAAAATCATGCAAAAGATAATTAGGCCATAAACAAACTTTACATATAGAAAGTACAGTAGGGGACTTTGGGATCAGTAAAGCCTTAAAACAGTTGTGTTGTGGGTGTGTGAAAGAGTTCTCCCCCTCAACATCATGTACTCTGTCTGCCCTAACAAGAGGGCTCACCAGTGGGTATTGGGATTGCAAACCATTGTTGTAGAGGACTGGAACTCTGAACAGAAAATTACATTCCAAGAAGCTTAAGTAATTTTTTATTCCTCAATATATTGGGAGCAGACATCTGGTGTTTATGTGTGCAGGTCTTCAACACATCTTTGGCTGAACCTGTCCCTGAAGGTTATGAAGATATTCCAGACATTGTGCCTCCGTACAGTGCATTTTCGGCTAAAGGGAACCCAGAGGTAAACCTCAGGAGATTGATCAAAACAATAATAATAGATTGACTCCATTCATTTCTACCACAGGGTGAAATGGTCTACGTCAATTATGGCAGGACAGAAGATTTTTTCCAGTTGGAGAGAGAAATGGGACTAAATGTCACTGGGAAAATTGTAATTGTCAGATATGGAAAAATATTCCGGGGCAATAAGGTGAAATTTTTACATTTACATACCAAGAAAAAGAGTTTATCAGTAATAATTGTTTTGCCAACAGGTGAAAAATGCCATCTTATCAGGAGCAAAAGGAATCATCATGTTTTCTGACCCAGCAGATTACTGTGCTGATGGAGTGCAGGTGAGATCCTTACTTTCAAAGAGCACAGTTTCTGACAAAAAGAGAATTCTAATATTGAGTCTAGAATACATAATTTTCCCGTTGAAGGCCACACCTAACCCTAAACTCATGGTTCCGCAAGAAAGGACCTCCATCCATCCATTTTCTACCCTTTAGTCCATTTCTGGGTCAGGGGGGTGGCAGTCAGAGATGCCACCCAAGTCTCATAGCACCAGCCCCTCACTGACCCTCTGCAGGTGGTGAGTCCACAGGAGGACGGCTGCTCTCTGAGTGTGAGCATAGCCTTGATCTTTCAGTGGGGGCTTTTGGCAAAGTGGGGTTAAGTGTCTTGCCCAAGGACACAACAACAGCAGTCATCAGTGGGAGTCGGTGGAGAAGGTGCAGAGGTGGGAATTGAACCCACGACCTTCTGGGCTTAAGGCCCCGAGCACACAGCGTGGGTTGCCCGGAGCTGGGAATCAACACCCCCACTCCTCTCCATGTGTTCAGCAGCGCCCTGGTTCGGACCCATCCCTGGATGAGCCCGCTGGTTCCGGCCATGGACACCGAGCGCCCTCTCCGCGGCTACGTCCACTCTTCGCCCCGACTACTTTGATTGTTGGAGATTCCATCGTGAGGCACGTCCGCTTTTTTAACGCGGTCACTCACTGCATTACCGGAGCCACTGTTCCAGACCTGCTCATCCGTCTCCCTCCTCTGCTTCAGTCCCTGCCTGATACCATTTCAAAGGTAATCGTGCATGTGGGGATCAACGACATGAAGCTGCAGCAGTCCGAGGTCACAAAGAAGCATTTTATGGATCTATTCCGCCTCCTCCAGTCCTCCGGGTTGTGTGTTTTTATCTCTGGTCCAGTCCCGACTGTAAACCGGGGAGACTGCTTGTACAGTCGCGTTGTGGCGCTCAACATGTGGCTCCAGTCTACATGCAGCACTTTTAACTTTATTTTTGTGAACAACTTTGGCCTGTTCTGGAAGCGTCACGTGGCCTATCGTCCAGATGGTCTGCACCCGAACAGATACGGTACCAGTTTGTTGACGGACTTCCTACGCCATGTTGTTCAGTGCTCCCCGAGGGGGGCGTGACTGTTTACATCTGAGGCTTTTCGGCCCCCACCACCCCCCTCCTCCTCCTCCTTACCAGCACCGGGTGAGTACTGTGGTGCAAACACTGACCCCTGTCAGTCTGGCAGTGTAACGACAGTCCTGCCACTGAACTGTGCTGACTCAGTTATGCATCTGGAACTTAACAAAGTACAACAGAGTTCACTTTTTAAACCAATAGAGACTGTGTGTGTTTCTCGCACCAGCTCAGAAATGTGTTTTAACTTGAATAAACACAAATTTAAAAGAAGGACAGCAGTTAGACGGTCCAACTCTGGAAATCTAATTCCAGTTCTTTGTAATCAATCAACTAAACCCATTGACACTGATATTAATTTTAACCTTGCTCTACTTAATGTCAGATCACTATGCAACAAATCATTTTAATTAATAATTTTATCTGTTCGTATGATCTTGATTTTATGTTTATGACTGAAACATGGCTTGACCATAATACAGGAGATGCAGTTTTAATAGAAGCCTCACCACCAAATTTCAAATTTGAACATGAAACACGAGAAAATAAAAGGGGGGGGGCATAGCAGCAGTTTTTAAAGATCGTATTGTCTCCCATAGAGTGTCTCTTGGGAAATTTTCATCATTTGAGTATGTTTCTTTTAAAATAGAACAAAAGAAATCTTCTTCCATTCTTATTATTGTTGTGTACAAGCCGCCACAGTCATGCCATAGTTTCACTGATCATTTCACTGAGTTGCTTTCAGTTGTGTGCACAGATTTTGATGGTTTGGTCATTGTAGGTGATTTCAATATACATGTAGATAATGCTAATGATAGATATGCAATAGAGCTGAGCTCTGTGCTGGAAACCTTTGGTCTCACTCAGCATGTGAGTGGCCCCACCCACAGCAGAGGACACACTCTCGATCTGTTAATTACCAAGGGGGTTAATATTTCAAATGTAAATGTGGTCAATGTTGCTCTGTCTGATCATTTCTGTGTATTTTTTGACATGTGTCTTGATTGTAAACCACCAGCTGAATCTTCGGTTGTTAGAAGAAGACACATAAATGATAATACAGGCGAACTGTTCATGGGGAGGGTAAACTTTGAGAACACGTTGTGTGTTACTGTAGATGAATTGCTTGATTCTGTCACCACCACTGTTTTGAATGTTCTGGATACAATTGCTCCTGTAAAGGTTAAAATAGTTACAAACAAGCAAAAAGCGCCATGGACTAAAGCAGACTCGGTCAGGGCACAGAAGAGAGAGTGCCGGAAGGCCGAGCGGAAGTGGCGAAAGTCAAATCTCAAAGTTGACCATGAGATCTTCAAAGATGCGTTGTGCAATTTTAACAGGGAACTACGTAGAACGAGGGAAATGTACTTTTCTGAAACTATTGAAGGCTGTAGCAACAATCTACGTGTTCTGTTTTCAACAGTAAATAGATTGACGAATCCCCCTGTTAAGATGCCATCAGAACTTACTTCCAAATCTAAATGTAATGAGTTTGCTCAGTTCTTTAATGACAAAGTCCAAGGTATCAAAAACGCCATCACCTCCACGATAGAAATAATAATCCAACCGCCAGTGAGGCTTTTTGGGCTGACGCACTTTACACCAGTACAAATTGAAACTGTCCAGGAGATAATCACTAGTCTGAGTTCCTCCACATGCAGCCTGGATGTATTACCTCCTAGATTTCTCAAGTCAGTTCTGAGCAGTCTTTTACCTTCACTTACACAAATAGTTAATATGTCTCTTGAATCTGGAACTTCCCAATGGCCTTGAAAACGGCGGTCATCAGGCCCCTCCTAAAAAAGAGGAGTCTGGAAGCCCTGGCACTCAAAAATTATCGGCCCATTTCAAATCTGCCTTTCATGGGAAAAATTCTAGAAAAAGTTGCCTATAAACAACTTACAGAATTTTTAATAATCAATAACGCTTATGATATGTTCCAGTCAGGGTTTAGACCCCACCACAGCACTGAGACCGCGCTAATAAAGGTAACAAATGACATCAAACTAAACACTGACGCAGGAAAAGTCTCAGTCCTTTTTCTGTTAGATTTAAGTGCTGCTTTTGACACTATTGATCATGGCATCCTCATTCAGAGACTTGAGGACTGGGTTGGTGTTGCTGGCACCGCCCTAAGCTGGTTTAGGTCCTATTTACAAGACAGAAAGTTTTTTGTGGAGATCGAAAACTGTACCTCAGACCACTTGGCCCTGACCTGCGGAGTGCCACAGGGGTCAATCCTGGGTCCTCTTCTGTTTAATATTTACATGTTGCCTCTAGGTCAGTTGATTCACAGTAATAATGTCTCTTATCACAATTACGCTGACGATACTCAGGTCTATGTGTCCCTGACAGCAGGAGAGCATGAACCAGTGGACTCGCTCCTTCACTGTGTCCAGCAAATCGGTGATTGGATGCAAAATAACTTTCTCCAACTAAACACCGACAAAACTGAAATAATTGTTTTCGGACCCCAGAAACAAAGAGAGAGCGTTATTTGTCACCTCCAGGCTCTCTCTCTACAGCCCTCAAATCAGGTCAGAAATCTAGGAGTGATAATGGACTCAGACTTAAATTTCAAAAGCCACCTAAAATCTGTAACATCAGCAGCTTATTACCACCTAAAAAACATTGCTAAAATTAAAAACATAGTGTCTAAGGCAGACTTGGAGACTCTTATACACGCTTTTGTCTCCAGTCGGTTAGACTATTGCAATGGCCTGCTCACAGGTCTCTCCAAACAGGCTGTAAAACAGCTGCAGTACATTCAACATGCAGCAGCTCGAGTCCTGACCAGAACTAGGAAGTACGACCACATTAGTCCAGTTCTCAGGTCTCTGCACTGGCTTCCTGTTCCTCAGAGAATAGACTTCAAAGCAGCTTTACTTGTGTACAAGTCTCTCCATGGTCTCGCGCCAAGGTACATCCATGACATGTTTGTGCCATATGAACCGACCCGGACTCTGAGGAGCACAGGGACTGGACTCCTGTTAGTGCCCAGAGTCGGTACTAGACATGGGCAAACTGCATTTCAGATTCATGCGGCTAGAGTCTGGAACCGTCTTCCTGAGAATGTGAGACAGGCGTCTACTCTGGCATCTTTTAAATCTAGGCTCAAAACAATTCTGTTTAGCTGCGCATATACAACTGAATGATTTTATCTTTTCATCTTTGTTTTTATCTTTAATCTTTTTAATGCACTGTGACTATTTATGATTTTAGTCCCATCTGTGATTTTAATGTTTAAAGGTTTTTAATTTTTGTGATTTTATTTTTAATGTTTTTAATATATCTTGTGCTCTTAATGTGTTTGATTTATGCATGATGTGATAGGGGATGTGAAGCGCTTTGCGTTGCCTTGTGTAGGAAAGGCGCTCTACAAATAAACGTTGATTGATTGATTGATTGAAGGCCAATGCTCTACCAACTGAGCTACTGTAAGAAAGGACCTGTGTAACTTTATCACCAAGACTTGGGGGTTAGGTTTTTACCAGGGTTCATTACTTTGTCTTTCCGTCTGCACCAATGTTAGCAACATAACTCAAAAGGGGTTGGGAGGATCTAATGTAAGAAGAATAGATTTTGCATGGTGACTTGGATCACTGTACGGATCCAGGTTTTAAAGGGAATGGAACTGTGCATTTTGGCAGCTGTGCATGCTCTACGGGTGTTGTCTAGTTACATTTAAACTGTTCAGACTTACCCAGAAGGCTGGAACTTGCCTGGTGGAGGAGCTCAGAGAGGAAACGTGCTGAATCTGAATGGAGCAGGGGATCCTCTTACACCTGGATATCCTGCCAAAGGTAATCTCACATTATACAGGCCTCCAATGTTATAATAATTGTTATTCATGTAATCTAAGAATTTATCTCACAGAATATACATACAGATACAAACTTGAGGAAGGAGTGGGACTACCCAAGATCCCAGTGCATCCTGTTGGATACCATGACGCCATTAACTTGTTAAAGTTAGTCATTTTCAAAGTTTTCTACCATTGGTCAAAAATGTATCTATATGACACACATATTTCTCGTAGGAACATGGGAGGTCAGATTCCACCCAACAACTGGAAGGGAAACTTGAATGTGTCGTACAAGATAGGACCAGGATTCATCAATGACTACAAGAACTTGTAAGTCTTCACAATTAGCCTTTTTCAGTATAGTTATTGTAATCGTTGACTCTAGCCTGTGAGCAAAGGCAGATGTAACATTATAACATTAGCATGCATTATTTTCAAACATTGGTGTCTCACTTTGGGGAATTATGTCTTGTATTTTAAAATTCTATTAAAGTACAGTGCGTTTAAACATCCACACAAACAACCAGGTGACAAGAATCTATAACGTAATTGGCAAGATCAGAGGTGCTATTGAACCAGGTAAAGTAATGGAAATACTGAGAGACATTTACCTGTCGATTGGACTAATTTGCTTCACTTTTGGGTGTGCAAAGACAGATATGTGATATTGGGAGGACACAGAGATGCTTGGGTTTTTGGAGGAATCGACCCCATGTCTGGTGCGGCAGTCGTCCATGAGACTGTGAGGAGTGCAGGCCGACTGATCAACAGGGGTAATCACAAATCCACTTTGTTTATGAATTCATTAATTAAGTTTATTTCAGTCACTTGTACAACTATACACATTGTTACTGAAAAGTCATTTTACAGCAGAAATAAAAACCGAAAAAGTGTAGGCTGAATCTGATGCTTGTTTTTTCTACTAAGTGTCATAAGTGAACGTATACAATAGGATTTACATAAGCAACTGTAAACATCCAAATTCTGAGCTCATGTAGCTGTCCAAAACAATAGTTTAAAACTTATTTTTTAAGTGGAAAAGTGAGTCACATGATTTAGGTTTATCCATCAGTTCAACATTTTTACATTACACGTCTGTTCCTCTCAACTCATAATGACTCTCTCTGACTCTCTGATTGTGAACAACTTCTGTAATGATTTTGATAGGGCTTCATTTTTTAAATACTAAACAGTGTTGCCCCATACCTCCATGCAATATGTTATACAGGGCATTACTATGAGGTATATACATTAAGCAGACCATTTTACTTACAAGATATATTGCTATTACTATTATATATTTTAAAAACAGTTTCCAAAATGGTGCACAGAAGTAAGAAATAAAAAAGTACCCCTAACCCTCTGTAGTCCATGGACCTCAGACCAAAGAGTGGGGCTGCAGGAGGTCAATTTGGATGAGGTCTGAGAAGGGACAGGTCAATGCAAGGAAATCTGACATTGAGCTGTCAGTCAAATAATTTGTCTAACTCTTACATTTCCTCCTATTTGCGTTGACACAAAGGATGGCGGCCGAGGAGGACTATGATATTTGCCAGCTGGGATGCAGAGGAGTTTGGTCTCCAGGGGTCTACAGAATGGGCAGAGGTAACACCATTTCACCTTCCTGTGGAGCTGTAACTATTCATGTTTTATTATCCATCTGTTTACCAATCAACAGTCAAATGTCAACTACTTTAGAGTTAGCGATCGATTCATCATTGTTTTTAACCATACCTGGACCAAAACATGCTGAGAGGAGGTGTTATGACTCCAATAAAAGTCGAAAACAATTTCTACAGAATGAAGTGAACTCCAAAGTCTTGTACCTATTGAATATTTTTGCAGCCTTCTGAAAGACCTGGAAATGGACATCACCAGTAGGTTCTGAGATGTGCAGCTAATATGTTTAGTATGTTTTATATCAATGTTTTTAAGGTTGTATTGTGAATTAAGTCTGGCATCTTATAGAGCCTGATACGTAGCTGGATAGAGGGGACTTTAAATTTGAACAATATGAATTGGTAAAAAAACGCATCTAAAATACAACACTATTGATTCATTTATATATAATTTTTTGAAGATGAATTTGTTAATGAAGTCAAAATATCAAAACAAAATCTATACATAGAAGAATGTTTTAAATGGGTAAAACATAGAAAATAAATGGCTATTGTATCTAATTGTTAACCACATACAGTATATCTGAAATTAAAACATTTAAATAATCTCAATTTTTGGGATCTTCTAAATTTGTGGAATAAAAAACTGATGTATAAGACTCTTTATATGTCACAAATGTTTTATGCCAGCTTGAATTTTGTTTATAGGAGAACGCAAAAGTGCTCCAAGAAAGAGCTGTGGCTTATATAAATGCGGACTCTGCTATAGAAGGTAAAACAAGTGTGACCATGCAAGTGTCTTATTCATAATACATAGATGCAGTATATAATATTTCTGTGTTTCAGGTATGTATACATTGAGGGTAGACTGCACGCCGTCTTTGCACACACTAGTGTATGAAATAACAAAGCAGGTGAGCTTCAAAAGTGATTTTAAAAAATGGACGCAAGTGTAGACTAGTAACATGTGTGTGTGTTGTAGATCAGCAGCCCAGAGGAAGGAGAGGAGGACATGTCTCTGTATGAAAGCTGGCATCGAAGAGACAACTGGACAAACCACCGCAACGCACCCAGGTCCAAGCTCTATGGTTCTGAAGTCTTGGTAGCACAAAAAATAGATTATACAAACGTACTGGGAGAAGTATTTCCCCAGTTGAATACCACCCCTTGGTTGGTATTCTATATTACAGCTGAGCAAAAAATAAAAAAGTACTCACAATTTGTTTTGATATTGTGCACAGGCAGGGGGCAAACGATTAACATTCTAAATTATAGAGTGTATATTTAAGTGAATGAAGAGAGGAACAAACAGATACATGTGCCTGTCCCCAGTTAACTTCTCAGGATGAATGACAAAAATTCTCCTCTTTAGTCCAATATTGTAGTTAAATACATAGTCATACATATTTTTTCAACACTATAATGACAGTATAATCTTGCCCACACAAAAGAACTGCTTGTATTCATTGGAAGCCGATCTAAAATTACTTAATCACAGGAACAAGTCCATATATTTCCAGCTCAAGACTCTCAGAACTGATAGACCCAAATTCCCCCTAACTCCTGGCTATAGGAGAATACCGTACATGTAGAGATAAACACGGCAAGGCAAGGCGCTTAGTCAATTAAATAGAAGGCTCACATGAATGCTAGCAGATATATACAGTTACTGAAATACAACTTTATCCTAAACTCATAATGAGAGATTATATAGATGATTATGATACAATGTTCACATTTCAAATCTGTCTATTGTAGAATAAGTAAGCTGGGATCTGGAAGTGACTTTGAGGCTTACTTCATTCGTCTTGGAATTGCGGCCGGCCGTGCGAGATATACCAAAAATAAGGTTTGATGAGGTCATTTGGCAGAAAAATGCAATTATTTTTGACTAAACAAGCATCCTTTTCTGCGTGTGTCAGAAAACTGAACGCTACAGCAGTTATCCAGTGTACCACAGCGTGTATGAAACCTTTGAGGTCGTGGACAAGTTCTATGACCCCTCCTTCAGACGGCTGGAGGCGGTGGCGAGGGTCCGAGGAGGGTTGATTTTCTCACTGGCTGATTCCCTGCTCTTGCCTCTCAATATCAACGAATATGCAGACGCACTCCAGTTCTATGCCACCAGCATCTCCCAAATTGCAGGCAGAAACCCGGACGAAATGCAGAAATATGAAGTGTCTTTTGGTAAGTTTTTGTTTGTTTGTTCCTGTCAGAGCATTTATGTTTGCTAATTATTCATTTTTCTTTTTTTTTGGCTCAAGATTCACTTTTTTCTGCGGCGGATAACTTTACAACAGTAGCCAGAGACTTCCATGAGAGGCTCGAGTCTCTGAACAAAGCAGAGTAAGCGTTTTAACATATTTTTTATTTGACATTAAAGCTGAGGTACCTAAGTTTCAAGCTCACAGTTGGGTACTATGCAAGCATTTTAGTAAGAGGGCCAGTTTAGTTAACCAGACTTGTCCAAGGGTTGATAACTCGGCTTGAAAAACTGTTTTGATTGGATTTGGCAAATGTGTACCATCTCACCAGCTATAGACAGAGTTGGTAGAGCTGAAGTTGGCTAGATGACACTGTGAACTTGTGTTTATGATCTCAAATAGAACTTTGGGTTAGGAAGGTAGAGGGCCACACCCAATGACACACAGGGCAAATGGCACGACCAACTTAAGGACTCTGAAGTCGCTCTCTTCAGACTGAAAAGTGAAAACGAAAGGACCATCCTTCTATTCTGTAACTTGTGATGCAACACTGAAATTTCCCCGCTGTGGGACGAATAAAGGATCTTTTAATCTCTAAACCAGTCAGCTCTGATCCCAAAGTGCCAAGTAGTCACTCACAGGGCTTTTAATTACCTGTGAGTCACGACTTATCGATTAAGTATGCAAAACATGATTTATAATAAGTGGTATGATATGCTCTCAAAATTGTTACCTTGAGATTATTTCTGTTCTGACAAATGAAATGTATTAAGTATGAGAAAAAAGTGAAGTACCCCAGCTTTAAGAATCACATACATTTTAGAGAGCTGCCTTTACACAGGTGGCTGAAAGATGTTTCTCCATTAAAATTCATGTTTGCATGCATTAGTCCATTGCAGGTCCGAATAGTGAATGACCAGCTCATGTACTTGGAGCGTGCGTTCATCGACCCCTTGGGCTTACCAGACAGGCCATTTTACCGGCAAGTTCATTCTATGGTTTTGTGCAAATCTGAGTCATTACGAGTTTATAATTCAAGATGTGTCTATTGTTTTAGGCACGTAATCTTCGCTCCCAGTCGCCACAATAAGTACGCAGGAGAGTCTTTCCCGGGAATCTATGATGCATTGTTTGACATTGAAAACGCAGCTGACCCAGAGAAGTCCTGGGATGAGGTCAAGCGTCAAATCAGCATAGCCACATTCACCGTCCACGCGGCCGCCATGACCCTCACGGTGCCTGCATGAAGACAGCCTGTGCACTTTAGTATAGATGTAAAAGATACTTATTTGAACTGTTTGACAAACCTTCTTATAACACTAGGACTCCCAGCATTCTGAAACGACTAGAACTTCCAGAACTATGTGACTATATGACATTGTAACTCCAAGACGTTTAGTTTTTCACCAGATTTAGATAAAGTAAGTAACTTAAGATTTTTTTTTTTTAACCTTGACTTACTTTTGATAAGTGATACAACTGCCGAATATAACTCAAAATAAAGTTGTTGAAAGGCGAATTTCTAAGTAAATGGTGTGTTTCTATAGTAACTGCACTAGTGGAAAATGACTTCTAGAAATACTTACATTTCAAAGTAAAAGATAATTTCATAAAACAAATAATTACATAGAAATAAACTACATATAGCTACAGAAAAAAGTCAGTTTTGATGAACAAAAATGTACATAAGCTGAATAATTATACTTCCAAAACTAAAAGTCTGGGATATCTAGCTGAAAGAGCTGACGTACATTTAAAAAATATTGTTTTTACTTTTATTTCTTCTTTTATATGACAGACGACGCAAAAACAGCAACCACATAATGTTAACAGACATAACAAAAAAATTATACACTTTTTTCAGATTTTTTTAGTTTCGATCCTAGACCTGAGTTTGTTTGTGTTTTTAGTAAAAGTTGGGGGAAAAGTAATAACCAAAAATACATATTTTCAAAAAATGACACATGCAAAGATAATAACAGAAAGTACCACAAGAAACATGTCTGAAAGGTCAAAGGTTTACAATTTGCCCTTTAGTAGTTTTTTTGAAAAGCTAGATATATTGTAGCGTCACTCAAACATAGTTGCATCCATTTTTAGCAAATTCTTTCAAATTTACTACCAATAACAAAAAACTTTGAAGATTTATTATTAGAGAAGTACAACTTTTAGGGTCCAAACGGATATATCTGTTTTTGAAAATGGACTGTGAGGTTAATCAAAGAGATGAAAGCAAATACACACTGTAGCACCAGAGATTTCTCACACGACTAAAGGTCCACCTGGGTCAGTTCTCGAAGGCATTCCTGTATGTTTTCCAGTCTATCCTGTGGACATGTTTGCATTGTCCTCTCCAGCAACAACTTCACCTCGTTCTGAACACCCTTGTCTTTAGAGCGAGGGTACAGATAGCCTCCCAGTGGGCTGTTGTTGTCAGGAGACAGCAGGCCACACAGGAACCTCAAGAACATGTCATACTGTTCCCTCGGTGCAGTGAAGGTCCGCTCTATAGCACACTGTACGAGGTCGGCTGCTGATTTGCTCTGCGGATTAAAGACAAACGCAGCGAGTGCCGTGCGGCCGCTTCGACTATCTTCCAGAACGTTTTTGGATTCCACGTGAAAAAGTGTAAACGCATACAAGGCGGCCATGAACTCCTGTAAACAATAATGGGCTTTAAATGCGTTTAAGACATATAAATGAAGTGCCAGACGTAATTATGTGCAGTTTAAATACCTGAACAGAATTGTGAATGAAACGGAACCGTCTCTGTCCTGAGGAGGTTGGGAGCAGCTCAGTGCACAGACCAGAAAAGACAGAGACATCAGAAACATCCAGACCGTGAGCTTTCACGTCCTCCTCTGAAAAAACAGGTGACCTCTGCTCCAACATTTTCATAGCCATTTTCCCCAAGTTTCTCAGCATCTGTTGGTCTTCATCGGACCATTTCTAAACGCGATCAAGACAACATATAAACAGTTTGATATTCAGCCTATAAAAAATTGAAATGAATCAATTACCCTCACCAGGCTATTTTCAGGCTGATTGTAGTAGAACTGCAGTCTGCGGTTGGTTTGAATGATTACAGTATTCACAAAGAATGGGGTCAGCTTGGGGGGATATCTCCCATAGGCTTCTTTGTTTTCAAAATTATGACCAAAGATTTTGGCCACCATCCAGCAGATGAATGGCTGCCTGGTTAAATCGCAGAGTACGGGTAGTTTTTTATAATGAGCCACAATTTTAGCTCCTATTTCAGTTCTCTTTTGTAAGAAGCGTCTGGTCAGGTAGTTTTCTTTCATCGCTTCACTAGAAGACATAAAACCATTAAGATAACTTCGTAATCATACTAATTTTAGATATAGACTTCAGTACATACTTGAATCCTCTCATTTCAGTGAAGGCATCTACATGTTCTGATGGAATGTGTGAGACCGCACCCTGTCGACCTAAGATCCACAACTGTGCGTTTGGAAGAAGAGTGCCCCCGATGAGATTTACAATTAAGTCATCCATGCTGGCAGGAGTGTGGAGTTCATTTATGATGACAGAATTCTGTGGATGAGTAAGATAAGATAAAACTTTATTGATCTCACAATGGAGACATATATTGGCTTACACAGGATCACACAGGATCACTCAGGGAAATGTTAAAAAGTGAAACAGATCTTTTGTGTAAGGTATTTGATATACAATTAAAATAAAAAGTGACTATTGCAGTGTGAAAAGGATTCACAAGGATTAGGGCTGCCCTTTAAAAGGATGGAGGCAGTCGCAAAATGAATTCACTTGAAAAGTGCTCACCTTCCAGTCCAGAGCAGTTTGGTAGCAGTCAAAGGAGTCCATGATGATGAGAAACTTGCACTCTGCATCTTCTAGATACATCTTGCTTTTGCACAAAGAGTGATGATATTCTATGACATCCATGATGGACATTTTCTCTGAGCCAGAAGGATTTCTGTTTCTCAAAATCCACAAAGAACTAAATGGTAGTGTGATCACGTACTGTAAATCCTATAGAGAGAAAAAAGACAAATATAGAGAACATCATATTACTTGAACATATCCAAGTTCACCTTATTCGCTCGATGTTTTGTCCAATCATAACAATATTTTCCAACAGATGTAGTCAGGCCGATGCCTGCGATTCCTGAAGTTAATACAGTTCGTACAGGCCGACCATCAGGCCTCTGCATTCGAAACAGGTTGTTCAGGCTGACCAAAGAGCCAGCGGCTGCAGTTTGACCTGGTGACTGCACGTGCTCATGAGAAGGGCCACCTCCACAAGCATAATGGACGATCTCTGGTTCAACGTAGACTTCATCCAGAAGATTACGTCTTCCTGGTTGTGGAACCCCTTCAAAGATGTATTCGTATTTTCTAATAATATCTAGCTTCAGACTCGAGCGGATCAAAGCTTAGAAGAAAAACAATAAATAGTATTAGCTTTGATTTGAGGTTTTGATAAATATGTGTTTTTTTAATGTACTGTTTACCTTTTTTGCATTTGACTTGTAGTTCTTGTGCTTCTCTTTTCTTGGTGATATTATCAAGGGTACTTATCGTATTTAAAAGAGCACGGTCCTGGCCTGATAGAAGAATCCAAATGTGTATAGATTTCTTTAAAAATAGTAATATTTCAGACTTACCAAAAACTTCAATAATCTTGTCCACAAAATCAAGTAAATCCCCATCAAACATTTGTTTAAGAGTAAAATCTGACTGTCGTTGGTGAAAGTTAATCTTAAATTTGTAGAGTTCTTCTTTGTTAAGGTCTTTCAACGCTTCCTGTATATTCTGTGGGAGAAACAACTTAATGTAATGATAATTTCAAAGAATAAAAGAAAAGCTTTAGCTTGGCACAAACCCTAAACACATGGGGCAGATCCTGGTCAGGGTGAAGTCTGCCTGGCTGTCCGTGACTGTCCATGGTCTGATCATCTTCTAGTTCAATTGCCTCCGGTGGTTCAGGGGAGTTGACTATACTCCCATCCTCATCATATTCATCTTCATCTTCATGTCCATCTGTAAATGGCTCTATATCAAAAGCCCTGGGAGAAAACAATCATTTCATAGCTAAAAACAAAAAGAGACAAAACGACTCCACTCATCAAAGTGATTCTCAGTAAGATCGAACCATTAGCCTCGTTCCCACTGCGCAAAAACACAGCCATTTCTCTTATTGATTACATGTGGTGAAGGTTATAAAACTACAGGCAAGTCTCACGAGGAACAATAATTTGCATAATGACGGCGTAACAAGCCCTGTAACGAGAGTGGAGCTCTTTCCGTCAAATTTTTGTCTTTTACACTGGCTGCTCTTTTCTTTCTGAAGTTGCCCTTGTTAAAAAATATGTTCGAAATGTTTAATAATTGCTGGATGATAAACTTGCCTGGGGTCCTGTCTGCACCTTGCTGTGACTGTGAGTTCAAAGATTCTTTTGACAGACAAAAAGTCAAATTTCTGCACGCTTTCGTCTTCCTTGTGGTGAAAAGCTAACAGGGGTTCAAACAACACGCCAACCTTTCCCACCGTGGTTCGAGGTTGACAACAGTATTTCAGCACATTCATAGACCTTTTTACATCCTTTACCTGCTGGCTTCAATAACAATAGCTCCGGGTGGTTTGGTCTGAATCGTCGTCATGGTGTACTGGCTCTCTGGAGATGTCGGACGATTCATCTGCACCCTTTAAAGTCAGAATAAAAGTAAAATACAGAACAGTTTTTATTTATTAAGGCTTTTACTAAGGCTTTTATAATGAGTTTATCTATATGGTCATGTGTCTTACCCAGCCCCCTCAAAGACCTCTGCATCCCGGGCCAGCACCGGAGTAGGGCGATTGAAAACTACAGCCACTTCTAGATCACATTGTTGTTGCTCTTTGTCATCTTCCTCCATTCCCGAAGCGGTGTCGTCCTCATCTTCACTTTTCATCGAACCATAGCTGGAGGGTGGTCTTTGCCAATCCCTAGTATCCTCCTCCTCTGAAAAACTGCACAAAAGATATTTTTTTATTCCTGCATGACTTTTTTATTCCTGCATGTACAGTACATTAGACTATAAACTGCTAACTTATGTATTTTAATGTAGTTACAGCACCCCCTTTATCATATGTGAATCCGAACTTTTGACTGTTCGTGACTCAGGCAGATCATTGAGGTCCTCATCTCAACTCCTCCTGGAAGTACCTAGGACTATAGGTCCAAACACTGGGGAGACCGGTCCTTCTCAGTCCTGGACCCCTGATATGCGTGTCCTCACTGATTTTGGCCTTTTTAAATCGAGGCTCAAAACGTATTTATTCAGACTGGCTTTTAACACTTTTATCACTTTTTAAAAATGTTTAACTGTTTTAATGTATAAATGTTTAAATGGATTTTATGAGATTTTATTGTGAAGCACTTTGGTCGCCTTGAGTGTTGTAAAGGGCTCTATAAATAAAATTGATTGATTGAATCTCCAGAGCTCATGACTTAGCACACATTCCTGCTTCAGTGTGTTTATGTGAACAGCAGAGCAGGGAAATACACAGGACGTTTTGTCTTTCTTTTTTTCATGTAATGTCAGAGTTTTTAGAATTATTTTGACCCCATCAGGATCATAGAAGGAAAGTTATGGTCAAAATAGTTTGCCATAGAGCTTTGATCATCGTTAAAAAACATTAAATCATTTGCAGAGTTTAAATAATTGTCTATCATCAGCTGTTGGTGTTACATTACAAGATTGAAAACTTGTGGTTTATGTTCAAGTGCAGTGATGTGGACAAATTTACTTTCTATAATGCTTACACATGTGCACCTAATAGTCCAGAGTACTTTAATACAATAAATGCAATAAGCAAATTCAATACAGGAAAGAGATTGTGGATTGGCCTGTTTGGATAATTAGCTGAACATACACTGAATACAAGCTTGTATAAGGTTTGTGACACATTTTCTACCGAAGTAATACCGATGGAAGAACTATTTTTCGATCAGTCTACCAATTGATCGCAAATAGCTAAGCAGGGCAGCGCCTGGTTAGAACGTTGATGGGAGACATGTGGGAACTCAGGTGCCCCAGTATCAAGTGTCAAACTTAGGGAGTCCTTTGGCAAGACACTTCAAAAGTTTCCTAAATAGCACTATGTAAAACCGACGACTTATTAAAACTATGGTAGTCCAGCCATTAGCTTGCGCACCTAAACATGGTTTAATCTTTAGCTGTTCTCCAGCTTGAAAAACCGGGTCTGTCATGAGTAATGTTGGTAGAAGTTGAATTACCGGTCCTCTTCTGTGCTCGGCTCCATGGCGCAATAATTCAACGCACCTAAAATATGTAATTTCCCGACGTTTGAAAGCCTTTCGTGTAAAATTACTTGGCTAATGTCATAGTTAGCTTGCGTTTGTGCAATTAAGCTTTCGGTTTCGTTGTCGAGTCCAGTGGATAGTCCTTCAGCTGCCGGATACAGCCTTTCAAAATAAAAGCACTGCTATACCAATTATTACACAAGGAAACTCGAAGTGCTGATCAAATAAAGATAGAAACAGTCATTATAATCATGATCAAACTAAATTCAAAAGAATGATAAAAATATATATAAAATCCCTGTTGTATCTACAGCTAAACAGAACTGTGTTTAACCTGGATTTAAACATGGTCAGAGAAGCCTGTCTCACATAGTCACTCGCAGGAGACCTCCAAAGAGGATAACTTGTATAATAAAGAGGCATGGAAAGTTGATAGACTTTTTTTAATCAGCTGACATAATATACAGTCAATATACAACTTTTGTCTACATTTTATTCCAAATATTCAACATGAACAAGTATTTAAAAAAGGTAAAAATGATTCGACAGAGATTAACTAAAAACAATGATATATAAAAAGATAGTGTTGAACTGCTTCAGACTTTCATCCTGCTCATCATCTGGTGAAAGAAGAAAAGATTCAGTGAATACATGATCACAATTATAACTAAGACACTTCAAGCCCACTTGAAGTGACACTTTAAATTATTGCCTAAATCAATGCTATTGAATGAGTGTTTGAAAAACAGTTTGCAGACAGATGATCAAAATATGAATGTTCTAAAGTTAATGATTGATGCTGCAAAGAACTTGACAGATTGTTGTATGATTGGTATAGAGCTGCTATTTGAATGTACCAATAATGATTTGTAAATATAACCAAATAAAATATTCAAGTTTAATCTGGGATACTCAACTTTGTTTTCTATGAATACTAATTTTGGTCCCAACAGAAAGCTTAGAGCTGATTGGCCGAGTGAGAGCGGCCAGTTCTATTGGACAACTGAAAAGACTGATATACGTGTGAAAACTTGTGATAAAACAGGACTGCTCTCATTTATGGGTTGAAAGTTAGGTACCCCAGCTTTAAGTACAAAGACGACAAGTATGTGATGCACTCCCACCAGAAGAGTAACACTTTAGTCCCTTGTAAAAAGAACCAGTAATTGTGTGTCCACCAAAAAGTCCAAGCAATGTTTTTAACTTACAGCAGGAGTTTCCCCAGATACAGGTACATCAATCAATCAATCAATCATCAATCCAAGTTTATTTGTAGAGCGCCTTTCATACACAGGGCAACACAAAGCGCTTCACAGTCCACATCACAAATCATCACATAAAAACAAACACCAGAATCACAATTAAAACATTAGAATCACACAAAAGATTAACACAATTAAAACATTAAAATCACACAAAAGATTAAAACACAATTAAAACATTAAAATCACACAAAAGAATAAAACCATTAAAACTTTCAAAATTACACAAGAAATTAAAAAAAAAAAAAAAATGACAACAGTGCATTAGAAATGCAGATAAAATCCTTCAGTTGTATGCACAGGCAAACAGAACAGTCTTTAACCTGGATTTGAACATTGACAGAGTAGACGCCTCCCTCACATTTTCAGGGAGATTGTTCCAGATCTTAGCTGCATGGATCTGAAACGCAGCCTCCCCATGTTTGGTTCTCACTCTGGGCACCAGCAGGAGGCCAGTCCCTGTGCTCCTCAGAGTCCGAGCCGGTTCATATGACACCAACATGTCACTAATGTATTTTGGTGCAAGGCCATGGAGAGACTTGTACACAAGCAGAGCTGTTTTAAAATCTATTCTCTGAGCCACAGGAAGCCAGTGCAGTGACCTGAGGACCGGACTAATGTGGTCATACTTCCTGGTTCCTGTCAGGACTCTAGATGCTGCATTTTGGATGTACTGCAGCTGCTTACAGGTCTGTTTGGACAGACCTGTAAGCAGGCCATTGCAGTAGTCTAGCCTACTGGAGACAAATGCATGGACAAGAATCTCCAAGTCTGCCCTGGACACTATATTTCTAACTTTGGCAATGTTCTTCAGATGGTAAAAAGCTGTTGATGTTATTGATTTTATGTGGCTATTGAAGTTTAGGTCTGAGTCCAGTATTACCCCCAAATTTCTGACCTTGTCTGAAGGAAGTAGGGAGAGAGACTGAAGTTGACAAATGACGCCCTCTCTTTGTTTCTGGGGACCAAAGACAATGATTTCGGTTTTGTCTGCATTTAGCTGGAGGAAATTATTTTGCATCCAGTCACTGATCTGCTGGATACAGTGAAGGAGCAAATCCAGTGGTCCATGTTCTCCTGCAGTCAGTGAGACATAGATCTGAGTGTCGTCAGCATAATTGTGGTAGGACACTTTGTTTCTTTGTATTAACTGACCTAACGGCAGCATGTAGAGATTAAATAGGAGAGGTCCCAGGATCGACCCTTGTGGTACTCCACAGGTCAGGGCCACATGATCCGAGACGCAGTCTCCAATCTCCACAAAGTACTTCCTATCCTCCAGGTAAGACCTAAACCAGTCTAGGGCTGTGCCAGTGACACCAACCCAGTCCTCCAGTCTCTGCATGAGGATCTCATGGTCGACAGTGTCGAACGCGGCACTAAGATCTAACATGACCAAAACTGTGACTTTACCTGCATCAGTGTGAAGTCGAATGTCGTTTGTTACCTTCACTAGAGCGGTCTCAGTGCTGTGGTGGGGTCTAAACCCAGACTGGAACATATCAAAAGAATTATTCATTGTTAAAAATTCAGTAAGTTGTTGGGAGGCCACTTTTTCAAGAATTTTTCCAATGAATGGCAGATTCGATATGGGGCGATAATTTTGAAGTCCCGCAGGATCCAGACTGCTCTTTTTTAGGAGAGGTCTTATGACTGCTGTTTTTAGGGCCATAGGAAATGTTCCTGACGACAGAGACATGTTTACTATTTGTGTCAGTGAAGGTAACAAACTGCTCAGGACGGACTTCAGAAATTTAGAGGGCAATATATCCAGGCTACATGTGGAGGAGCTCAGACTCATGATTATCTTTGACAGTTTCAGTATCCACAGGTGCAAAGTGAGTTAGCTCAAAAAGCTTCTCTGGCTGTTGCATTGTTATACGTGCTGTGGGGGTGATAGTGTTTTTGATTCCTTGTACTTTGTCATCGAAAAACTGTGCGAACTCATTACACCTAGATTTAGAGGAAAATTCTAGGGGCAACTTTACAGGGGGGTTCGTTAATCTACCAACTGTTGAAAACATAACACAAAAATTGTTACTGCAACCTCCAATAATGTCAGAAAAATACATTTCTCTTGTTCTACGTAGAACCCGGTTAAATTCACCCAACTCAACTAAAGATTCCATAATCGCCCTGGAAATTGGACTTTCGCCACTTCCGTTCGGCCCTCCGGCACTCTTGCTTCTGTGCCCTGACCGAGTCTGCCTTAGTCCCCATGGGGCCTTTTTCTTACTGGTAACTATTTTAACCGTCACAGGAGCAATGGCGTCCAGAACAGTCAGAACACTGGTGGTGACAGAGTTATACAATTCATCAACAGTAGAGCATGGAGTTCTCAAAATTTAGCATTCCCATGAACAGTTCACTTGTGTTTTCATGTATGTGTCTTCTTCTAACAATTGTAAATTCAGCTGGTGGTTTGCTAGCAAAACACATGTCAAAAAATACACAGAAATGATCTGACAAAGCAACATCAACTACATTAACATTTGATACATTAACCCCCTTTGTAATTAGCAGGTCAAGAGTGTGCCCCCTGCTGTGGGTGGGGCCACTCACGTGCTGAATGAAACCAAAGGTCTCAAACACAGAAGCCAGCTCCTTTGCATTTTTGTCATCAACATTATCAACATGTACATTAAAATCACCTGTAATAACTAAACTAAATCTGTGCACACGAATGAAAGTAGTTCAGTAAAATGGTCAATAGATTTTATTGACCATTTTACTGAACTACTTTCATTCGTGTGCACATTTTCATTGGCCTGTACAGGACAATGAAAAGAGTAGAAGATTGCTTTTGTTCCATTTTAAAAGAAATATACTCAAACGATGAAAAATTTCCAAGGGGCATTCTATGAGCGACAAAGTGCTCTCTAAAAACTGCAGCTATGCCTCCCCCCCTTTTGTTTTCTCGTATTTCGGATTCGAATTTAAAATTGGGTGGTGTTGCTTCTATTAGAACTGCATTTCCTGTATTTTGGTCCAGCCATGTTTCAGCCATAAGCATAAAATCAAGATCATAAGAAGTGATAAAATTATTAATTAAAAATGATTTGTTACATAGAGATCTGACATTAAGCATAGCAAGTTTAAAAATAACGTCAGAGTCGATTAATGTGGTTGATTGATTTCTACAGGGAACAGAAATTAGATTTGCAGGGTTGGACCGTCTAACTGCTGTCCTGTTTTGATTTTGTTTTTTAGAATTTAAAAACATTTTTGAGCTGGTGCGAGGAACACACACAGTCTCAATTGGCCTAAAATGTGAAAACCCTTGTTGTTGTTCTTTAGCTCCCAGAGTCAGAAGGGAGTCAGCACAGTTCAGTGTTTGGACTGGTAATGCACTGCCAGACGGACAGGGAGCAGTGTTTGCACCGTTGTACTCACCCGGTGCTGGTGAGCAGGAGGCGGGGGAGTGCGGTGGGGTCCGAGGGGGCTCAGATGTAAACAGTCACGCCCCCCTCGGGGAACGCTGAACAGCATAACGTATGTAGTCCATAAACAGGCTGCTACCGTATCTGTTTGGGTGTAATCCGTCTGGACGATAGGCTTCGTAACGTTTCCAGAAAAGGGCAAAGTTATTCACAAAGACAAAGTTAAAAGAGCTGCATGTAGCCTGAAGCCACACATGCAGCGCCACAACACGACTGTAGAGGCAGTCACCTCTGTTTACAGTCGGGATTGGACCAGAAATAAAAACAGATAATCCGGAGGATTGAAGGAGGTGGAACAGATCCATAAAATGTTTCTTAGTGACTTCTGACTGCTGAAGTTTCATGTCGTTAATTCCCACATGCACGACTACCTTGGAAACGGTATCAGGCAGGGACTGAAGCAGAGGAGGGAGACGTATGAGCAGGTCTGGTACAGTAGCTCCGGGAATACAGCGAGTGACCGCGTTAAAGAAGCGGACGTGTCTCACGATGGAATCTCCAATAATCAGAGTGGTCGGGGCGAAGAGTGGACGTTGACGCGGCCTCGGAGAAGGAGCTCGGTGGACGGAACCAGCGGGTTCACCCGAAGCAGGACCCGAGCGCCGCTGAACACATGGAGAGGAGGAGCGGGGGTGCTGACTCTCAGCTACAGGCGACCCACGCTGTGTGCTCGGGGACGCTGGAGCGGTGAGCGGGGCTGGCTCTGGGCGCTGCTGCTGACCCGGTGGAGGTGAGCGGTGGTGATGATGGCTCGCTACCCCAGTCTGAGGCTGCTGCACTGGGGTCAAAGAAGGGGAACAGGCCAACATGGCCGGTGGACCGCTCTTTCGCCTGAGGACTGCTTCCTTTAGGAGCGTTTTCCTCGCAGTGGACTTGGATCCTCGAGCAGTAGAGTTTGCTGCAGTGTCCAGGGATTCTGCTGAGGGGGCCGGGATGTCAGTGGAGAGGGCTGCATAGCGGTTTGCCAGACTCAGGACATGGGCCACGGTGCAGGATGGCTCCTCGGAATCCGCGGGCTCGTTATTCGGAACCGGGCGCTTAGGTGTAGAACAGGAGGGTCCGGAGCTGACGGATCTCTCCCACACGACAGTGTCACAATATGCAGCGCTCAGTGACATAAGCCGTGAATGCTGCCCACCAGCGACTTCAAAAAGTTTGGACACTAGAGATTGTTTCTCATTCAACTCTGCGGTGAGACGAAGGACTTCTTTTCGTAGTTCTGCAATGGTGGCACGGTCGCGCTCACGGAGCTCCAAGGTGAGGCGACTAATATTGTGCATGTTTGAGCCAATTTCATTGTCACTTTCCATGTCCTCGTTAGCTTGTGTTAGCCTCGGTGCTACTAGTGGGTTTCAGTCGGGACTAAGCGCTATTTGCTGAAACCACTGAATTAATAAGATAAAACACTCAGATATATTAAAAAACTGAACAATAAAAACGCGCTTAAAAGTTTACTAAAAAGGTGCACAGAGCAGCCCTGCAGAACGGTGCAGTTCACTCACACCTGTCTGACATCATGTCTCATACCCATCATACATACCCCTGAAAGGGTTTCACATTTATCAAAGATACTCCAAATTTCACTGTTGCATTATAGCTTTATGCATCATCTCCAAAAACCTGAAACAACTTAAATTAAAACGACATTTACCTTGCGAGCACTCGCTGTGATTCCAGGAGACTTTGCAGCCCTTTGTGGCCCTCGTGGAGACTTTCGTTGTCCTTTATTTGGCACCTGGGGAGATTTCTGGCTTCCAAGTCTGCCTGCCCCTCCAACAGCTGGGCGGCCAGCTTTCGTAGGCACATTCTCTTGGCCGCGCCGGCTCGCTGACTGTGCAGGAGACTTCAAACTCTTGCCTGGAGATTTCCGTGTGGAGTTTCGAAGTTTGTTTAAGCCCTTCTTCAGGAGGTCCTTTCGTGCGTCTTTTTTAGGGGTGTTGTCAATAGTGAACATCATTGATTGTCTACGATCAGCCTACAGAATATAAATTATTAATTGGGAGACATTATTTTGTTGACCTCAAGAAAAGACTGAATACAAAAAACAATTGCATTAGTTATAACAAATTGTTTAAAAAATTACTCACTGGACTGGGGGCAGTTTGGCAGTGAGGAAACGCTGGACCACTAACATTTCGGTTTTTAGGAGTGAGCGGACGCGGAAAACAGCTGGCTCTTGTTTTTTTCTTTGAAAAGAAGGTACATGATTAAAACCAGTAAATAAAAAGTTAAATTAGATACAGGGATCAAATATACCTCAGGTGAAGTAGTGTGTAGAGACAGCGTAGACGCAGCCCGCTTGCTGCCTTTTGGACTTCTGAGCGTGGAGTTTACTTGGCCTGGCATTGTGGAGAGTCGTGACAGAGATGGAGCCATGTTAGCACTCTGACCCATGTACGAGAGCCTATGAGAGGTCAGAGAGTCCTGCAGCTGCCCGGGCATCACAGAAGCACGCCGAATGGTCTCAATGGGGTCACCAGTGCGAAGTTCTTCATCAGTAAAAATCAAAGCACTATTGCGAACAGACTAAAGCAGACAAAGGGTTTTTAATATCATAGCTATTTACTAACTAGTTTATAGCAATTAGTTGGAGTCAATAAAAAAAAAAAACTCACATCAAACTCCAACGGATAGCTGCTCTTCAGATGTGGAAGACAAGCCTTGTTTCTTGCCTGGATCTCAGCAATTCGCATCCAATCCTCGGGTCCACCGTCTGGTTCATTTTCTGCTCCAACACAGAACGTGCTTGTAGCTGGAGAGGGGAGGGGGGGGGGGCACAGGGAAAAGGGATAAAGGGATAAGACATTTTTAATTTCAACTTCACATAGACCATTTTGTAACATGACATTCAACAAATAACTTGGAGATTGGTAATCTGCCCTTAACGGACGTTTTTTTTTATCATTGCAATTCTTATGTTTGAACGGTCAGAATAGTGTTTGCGAATACAACAGTTTTGTAAAGTCTTTTGAGATAATTAATGTTGTGATTTAGGGCTATACAAGAATACATTGAATTGAATTAAAGCACTTACCTTGTGAATGGATGGTGCTGCGTCTGTAACCCGGGAGACCGATGAGCTGGTCAGACTCTGCTGCTTTAGGTGTGTTGAAAAGTTCTGTGGAGACTTTATGAGCACTGGAGAGGTTCGGCTGAGAGCGTGCAGACGCCAAGCTGTAGAATGTCTCGTCCGCTTCATTACGGCCAGGAGTTTTCTGCAAAAGTAATTAAAACCGTATAAAACCACTATTCAGCCTTGTTGTCATGCCATGTGTGGTGCTCTGTGATTTACAAAACACGCGGCACGGTGGCTGAGTGGATAGCACTCTCGCCTCTCAGCAAGAAGGTCCTGGGTTCGAATCCCGGTCGGACCAGGGCCTTTCTGAGTGGAGTTTGCATGTTCTCCCCGTGTCTGCGTAGGTTTCCTCCGGGTACTCCGGTTTCCCCTACCACTAAAAATATGTCCAATAGTTCTGGCATGTGCCTCCTGTACTGGCCCCTCCCATCTCTGTGTGGAGTGAGAGACAAATGCCCAAAAATTGACAATTGTAAACCGCTTTGAGACTCAGATCTGCAGTGAAAAGGCGGTATATAAATACAAACTTACTTACTTACTTACTTACTATAAAAAAGGCGAGGTACCCGAACTTTAATTTTAAAATGTTGCATCAAGCATATAAACTAGCGAGATGCAGAGTTTGACAGCCCATGGTCTGGAATAAGTCAATTCAGGAGGAGACTTTAGGGCCACAAACACTGCTCTTAGATTGTTGATAATTTCATATTTCCCAAAATATGAATCACTTATCCGTTTTTGCAACTTAACTTTTGGCCCTTGTCAACATGCATGTTTCATTATGCAACCCTCCATGCAAAAACTGAATTAGATTGTGTAAACCACTTTCTGTAGATGGAAAATCAGGTACCCCGGCTTTAAAAAGGTGCATGTGTGTTTCCTCCACCTTTGTCATTGTGATGTTTATAACCTGTGTGGTCCTTCGCCTCTTTACAGATGAAGCAGAATTTCTCTTGGCAGACGCTTCTGGCTTGGTGCCTGTATTGCTCCTGCAAAGACACATCGTACATTCAATATTCCAACCTCTAAAGATAGTAATTGTAGAATATCCTTTTGGTCTCCTTACCTGTGCCTTGTGTTGATGGGAGTAAAGTAAAGTGTCTCCAGCGACTCGGCCTGGAGAACATGCCGTTTAGCAGCTAGGCGTTCTGAACTCCGGACGAGCGGTGTGCTTGATTCGGGAGCAGACAATTTTCTGTGAATAAAATAAAACTTAATACATGTTGGAGTTGAAGCCACAATTAGGATAAGAATTGCGGTAATACCTTGTGTCGTTCAGTGAATCATCGAGAGAGCTCTGGTCGAGGCTGTCGGAGCTGATGCTTTGTGGCTTGGATCTTTTTATACCAAATCGGTCTCCAGCAACTTCCAGGGTAGAGGCCCTACGCCCTTGTGCCTTATGGTCATTCAGGAGGGTATTTTGTTCGCAAAGAGCCTTATCAGCAAAGCTTTGCTGGAAGGAGAAAGAAAGAAGTTGTTACTTGCAAAACGCGGCCTTCACTCACAGTTGTACACTCAGTTCATACCTGTGCTTCCAAACTGGCAATCTTGTTCAGGAGTTTTTTTTCATTGCTCTGGATTCTTTCCAGCTCCATTTGCATAAGCTTCTTTTCCAGAGTGACATTTTTAAGTTCACTCCCCTGAACCTCCAGGGCATGTTTCAGATTTGCCACTTCTCCTTCACTTTTTTTTAAAAGCTCCTTCTTACTGTTGTAGTGATCCATTGCCTTTTCCATCTATTGAAAACAGAAGAAATGAGAAAAAACATAACTCATTTTATTCTTGAGCTTTCACTCACTTACCTGGGCTTTATAATGTTCCATAGCAGTTGTTTTCGCAGTCAGCTGCTGAAGCAAGTCTTCCTCCTCAACATCTTTTACTTTTTCTTTTTCATTTAGAAGAATGCTATTGTCCCGTTTCAGAACCTGTAGTTCCTCCTGCAATTTAGCCTGCAGTTTCAGTGCAGCATAATTTTCTCTTTCAAAGGCCTGTTTAGCTTGAGAAAGTCTTTTGTTCTCCAAGACTGCGCCCTCCAGTTGTTGTTCTACAGCAAGAACTCTTGCATCAAGAGCTGCTTTTTGCTTAATAAGAGAGTCTCGTTCCATTTGAGTAGATTCTATAGTTTCGTCCTTTTGTCTGAGGATATGGATATTCATTTCTTTTTGCTGGTTCAACTCTGCAGCCACCGAGACAAGTTCTTGCTTAAGGTCCTCAATTTTCTGTACTGACTCCAACTGGAGTCCACGAAACTGCTCGTCTTTGGCTGCAGCGTTCTGAGAACGGTCCTCGAGTAGACTCTTCAGGGACTCTACACACTGTTGCAGATCACCAATTTGTCTTGAGCTTTGCTCTTGGAGCTCTATAAATGCACTGTTTTTACATTTTAGTTCTTTAGTTTGACGAATCACCTCAATCTGTGCCACTGCCTCCTCCTCGAGTTTTACTACATAATTGTCATTTTCTGTCATCTTGATTTTAAAAGCAGATAACTCTGCCTGAATAATCTGATGTTGTTCTTGCATTTGGAGCAATAGCTCTTCCTTTTGTAGCAGATCGACTTGGGACTGACTGCTTTTAACTTTGAGCTCCAAAGTCTCTTTTTCAGCCTGCTCCACTTTGAGCATCAGGTTCTCTTGTTTTTGTTTGGCTTCTTGCTGATGTTGAATAAGTAACAACTCTTTGGAATGCATTTTCTCCTGTGCATCCTCCAAGGATGAAGCCAATGACTCCAGTCGTTTCTGAAGATCCTCGTTCTGTAAACATAAAGCTTTGGACTGCTCAGAGTTAAGTGCCATTTCTCGTTCTTTTGCACCGACCTCATTCTCTAGCTGTTTAACAACAATCTGACACTGTGAAAGTTGTTCCTGTAGTAGCTCCTGCTCTTGAGCACTTTTCAGTTGTTCAGAAATTATCTGCAGCTTTCCTTCTTCTGAGCACCTTAATGTTTTGGCCATATCCTCAAGTTGGCTCTTCATGATCTGGATCTCTTCTTGTTGCAGGTTTGACTGCTCATCCGACTCATCTTTCAATGTAATCATCTCTCGTTCTTTGGCTTGCAGCTGCTGTCTAAGCACTATCAGCTCATCAACTGTTGCCTTGAGTTTCTGAGCTGCATCTGTTTCCTGAGAGAGCTCAGTCTCCTTTCTGGCCAGCAAGTCTTCTTTGACAGTTAGCTGTTCTGCAGTACTATTCAAAGACTCATGTAGACTTTTCACTTGGAGAGTGAGACGAGAGATTTCATAGTCAAGCTCCTCTGACCGTTTGAGATAATCCTCTTTTAGCTGTTCCTCATGCTTCAACGTCTCCTTTTTAAGGTTAAACAATTCTACCTCTTTTCTTTGAAGGTTGCCCTGCATGCGCTTGATTTCATCTTCAAATTGAGAAACCTGAGCCAGCAGTCCCTCTACTTGATCCTGTTTTAAAGCAAAGTGGTTTTCCTTGATTTGCACATCCTCCTCTGCTTTCACCAGCTGAGCTCTGAGCGATGCCACTTGTTGCTGCAAGTCCGTTACGTTTGCTGATTGATCAGCACTTTGGTTCTCCAACATGGCCAATTGAGCAGTTTTTGTATTCATTTCTTCTTTTAAATGTTTTACCATCTCTTCAGAAGATGACAACTGTTCCTGCAGAAGAGATTCATTTTGACAGCTCTCTTCTTTCTGTTTTTTGGCTTCAGTCTGACAGTTCTGAGCTTGTTGCTTTGCTTCATTCAGAGATTCACCCAAAATACCGATCTGAGCTTTAAGAGCACATATTTCCTGTTGCTGCTTTTCACACTGCATCAAGTTATTCCTTTTAGCTTCAATTATTTGTTCATCTTTCATCCGAATTTCCATTTTTAGCGTTTCAATTGTCTCTTTGCAGAGAACGATATCCCGTTGGAGGGCCTCCATTTGCTCATCATTTTCTTGTTTTGTTTCACTGAGAAGAGTCGTTTTGATCTGCATTTCCTCCTCGGCTCGTTCTAGTGACGATTTCAGGATGTTAACCTCATCTTTCAACGAATCGATGACACCTTTAAGAGCCTCCGCTTCTTGTGATTTTTCTTGCAACTGTGAAAACAATGCTTGACTCTCCTTTTTGGTTTGTTGATGCGTCTCAGTTAGAAGATGGACCTTTTCTTTGAGCCCGCTTACTTCTTGATCTCTACCGCTCAAGAGAGTATTAGCAGAACACAGCTTAGTCATGAGATCATCAGCTCTTTCGACAGTTTGAAGTAGTAGCTCTTCCTTCTGATATTTGATTTCTTTAAGCTTTTCGATCTCTTCATTACATGACACAACTTGGACTTGAAACCTGGTGGCCTGTTCCTGCTTCTGTTTCTCTGCTTCTTCCAGTCGAAGTTTAAGCGCTTGTATCTCCTGCTGCAAAGTTTCTCCCATTTCAGCCATTTCCTTCTGAAGTTTGTCTATGGCTTCATTCTTCGACTCAAGCAATTGATCAATTTGGTTCTGTTTCTGAATTAAAAGCTCCTTCTGGTCAGAAATCTCACGCTCACACGCCTTCAGTTGCTGCGTCTTGGCCTGAACCTCCGCTTCAATTTTCTCAAGAGAGTTTGTGGCGTTCTCCAACTCTTCTGTTAAGGTGCAAATTCTGCTCTCCAGTAATTGTTTCTGCCAACATCAAGAAAAGTCTAAATTATAGGTTCAAGATGAATGTTATTGTAATGTTATTATGCTTATACCTTACCTCAACTGAAATCCACATGTTCTCTCCTTCTTCTTGTGTTGATCTATCAATTTCATCTTTCAAGCAGGAGATCTTTCCTTGAAGAATCTCAATCTGTTCTGCATAAAGTTCCTGTAAACGCAGGACAAAGATAATATATATTTTGATAATTGATTAGTTGTTAGAATCCAAAAGCTCCCTGCTCTAAAAGAGATCTGTATGGAGAAATGGGCGAAAAGAAAACACTGTATCACGTAAAAACCTTGAAGACATCCTCGACAAAGGGTATATAACTAAGCAAGTATTCAGATGGACTTCTGTAATTGACTAAATACTTTTCCATCATAATTTGCAAATAATGTTTGATTTAAAAAGATATTAGACATCCTGTTTTTGAGTCTGCATATTACATTTTTTGTTCCTAATTAGGAGATTATGAATAATCTCTGGAATTTTATGTACTACTAGACCACAAGAAACAATGTAGCCATTAGTAAAATATGGCCATTTTATATATATATTAAAATCTAGATGTTTCAAACACGCGCGCCTCAGACGATCAGAAAAACAGCAAAAATAACATGTTAATTTGTGTTCATAATTAGGAGATTATGAATAATCTGTGCAATGTTATGGACTAGAGCACAAGAAACAATGCAGCCATTAGTGAAATATGTATTTTAAAGAGTCAAATAACATGTTTTGGCTTATATCATAATGTATGCATTACCATTCATGTCGAACAAGCTTCATCTTGAATAAGGAAAGCACTATTGCCGCAGTGGAAAAGATGATAAAATACATTCTTTAAAAATGCAGACAATGTGAGTTTACTGGATAGTTGAGGTATACCTATGATGAAAATAACAGGCATCTCATCTTTTTAAGTGTGAGGATTTGCTCAAAAGGTGGCTCTACTTTGTTCTGCCTCACTGTAGATGCAAGTGTTCTCCTTACCTTCTGTGCCCTGGCTTCACAAAGCTCTGACTGCAAAGTGGAAATGCTGCTTTGCCACTCCGCTTCATTGGATTCATGGGCCTCTGTCAGCTTGCCAACCTCTGCCTCAGAGATGGCCAACCGGGAGCACACTGTCCTCATCTAAAATAGACAAATAGACCCAATTCTTGAAAGATTCCACATTTGCATACATTAAATAAAATTGTATGGAAACTTGCCTGGGAAGTAAGCACACCATTTTCTTCTGCAAGTTCATTCACTTTGCGATCACTCATTGCAGCATTATTCTTGAGTTCCTTATTCTGCTTCAGAAAATCATCCAAGCACGACTGCAACCTAAATAGGAAATCAAAATCTGTAAACAGGAATAACATCGGCACACTTTTTAAGAATTAGGCTGAAGAACTTGCATGTTTTTCTTGTTTTCCAGCTCATCAATTCGCGCTCTTGTGCTTTGTTCATCAACACCACGGTCCTCTTTTAATTTATCCAAACAATACTGAAGCTGGTTTATTAGAGATTCTACAATATAATGCAAAGTTAGAAAGGCAGTTTTATTAAATCCAACATGTCACTTAGAAGTTAAGCGTTACCCCTCTGTGACAATAGTGCCAGTTTGTTGGAGAGTTCCTTTTCAAGACCATCTATGTAGTCACGGTCTTGCATTAACTGCCGTTTCATTCTTCTCATTTGGAAAACGGGCGTGTTCATAACATCTTGTATAGGCGAAGAGCTGCAAGTTGAAATTGTAATAAGAAAGTCAGGTGGTGTTCTTGAGGTTAGGATTTTAAATGTGTTAAAAGTTTGACAAAAACCTGACTGAAGATGAGGCAACTTTTTGCAAATCCAAAAATTTGACTTTTTGAGAACGACCAAAAAGAGGGGACTCATCATCATCATATAAAGACGACAGACTGGAAACTGAAGTGGTAGTTGAAACGGTTGCAGACTTTTCTAAAATATTATGGGAAACTGTCAAGTCTGTAAAATGAACAGTGAAATTAACATGCACAATTTCCAAAAGATAAAATGTATAAGCATCAAGTCTTACGCCTTCTAGATAAATGGGCATCTAAACCGGGCACCAAAGAGACACTCCCTTCATTCTCCTCCACATAAGTTAAAGTTAAACCTGCGATCTGACGCTAAAAGTATTCAAAAAAGAGAATTACAATAATGACTATAATAACCAAAAGAAATGTGCTTTGAAACTAGACCTACCTCGACATCACAATCAAGCTTTTTCAATGTGCAGTGGTCATTCATCATGTCATAATAAACAAGTATTAAAATGACCTAAAAACATTAATGACAGTAAAAAACATTTAAAAAAGTTAAGAACATATCAATAATTTTGAGTCTACTTGAGAACAATATACCTTTGCAATTTCAACAGAGAGGTTTCTGCCGTCTTTAATCGCTTCCCATTCAATAGGAGTTCCATTCAGTGCGTTAAATCTGCAATCACCTGTAAAACAATTTTGCTCATGAAAAATATGGTCCAGTTAGAGATATGACATTTTACTTTGGGATTAGAATGACATGTATTCAATTGATTTTATTCTACATTTCAATCTTTTTGTGTTGATTGTGACAATACTTGCATTTGTACAATAATGTGTATACAATAGTTTCTAGTTGTACAATACAGCTTTCTCAGGTTTAAAATGCATTGAATGGCTTCTAGATCAAATCCATTGGAATAAATTATGACACTTTTTCTGGTTTGCTTCAGTTAATGTGACAGACAAATCAACTTACTTTTAATAAAGTTTGAAATTATTTTGAAACGCTCATCAACACAATGGCAAGAACTGGGAATTGACTTCTTTCTATGAGGACAAGGAAAAAGAATATAATTAATAACCATTATTAAATAAACAAATGCCTCTAAACTTACAATAGATGGACCAGCTTGAGTAAGATCTCCCCATTTTGCAAATCTTCAATGTGAGTTTCCTCGCCACTTCCTGTTGCAGCTTTAACCTAATCATAGCATTGATGATTATTAAATATTTGTTAAAAAGAAGAATCAGAAAGACTTCAAGCAGTCTTACCCAGCAAAAAAGAGCTTTGATGCTCAAATTCATCGCAGCCCTACAGAGAGAAAATTTGAAAAATAACTTTGTACTGTAGTATTTTTCTTTGCTAAACGTGTTTTTAATTGAAAGAAAAACATGCTCCTTCAACGAGCAGGCTGAAGTTCTGTCTGACCTATGATCCTAACATGTGTGCAGGTTAGTGCCAACCCAATTATGCTGTTAGAGCATTAAGCAGTCTCTAGAAAGAAACCCCCTTTGCAAGACTCCACGGTAATGGGCTAAAACCATACAACGAAAGATTTTTTGCTGAAATTATGAAAGATTAAGCAAACGGACCATCAGCGTCATGTAAACAAATAGGATAGAGAGGCCCTCCTCCAGAACACGGCTCGTGCTTGTAGACATTATTTTTTCCCCAGAGAAAGTTAAAATGCAAAACACTTCTTATTAGGCCTACAATAGGATATTTGTGGCCAGGTTATGTTTTGTTATCATAAGTGTTAGGTCAGTAGGTGTGGCCTTTCAGAACGATGGCCTTAAAAATTTAGTTAGATCAACCATTTTCTTCTTTTTTTCAGATCAGAAGGCAACTAACTACTTCAGACTATAATGAAAATTATTAAGAAATCAATGCACATGTTAAATCGGCGAACGCTAGCTTTGAAGCTAACTAATCACAGGACCATAGTCAACATTGTTAACCCTTGGTACCGGCGAGGGGAAAAAAAACATCCTACTCTTTCACCAAAGATAATAATGATACACTTACGCAAAAGTCGAAAGACGTGTAGACTGAAGTAAACACAGCTACGCGACGTCCAACACAGCAACACAGTACAGGGATATACGCCAAGCAAGTTTAAAAGTTCACAAACCAATCACAGCATTATATCCGCTGACGCCGAGAAACACTTCGTTGTGATTGGATATCAAGCCGGAAGTTAGGTACCTTACGTTCTTTGAAAAAGTAAAATAAAAATTATGTATAAAAAGATAAGAATATTATATATATTTTTTTTTTACTTGTACTTTATTTGTATACTACATATATATAAATGCGTATGTAAATGTATATATATATAACGAATAAATAAGCAGGGTGTTTAGATTTTCTTGTCATGCATCAATAATATCAATGCATGACATTTGGTGTTGTTTGATTAAGCATTGTTCACATTAGATACTGTTATTAATCTTAAATTTTGTATCACAATCAATACACGTGATCCATGCTGTTGTATGCATTTAGCTTCTTTTAATCTGCTTTCCAGATGATCCATGGTTTTATCCTAGAAGAGCAGAGCTTCCATGTTGCATATTTCCCTTTATGCTGCTAGAGTACCACGAACTCTTTTCAATCTATGCTGTTGTTCATTTTAATCTGAATTAAAGAAAAAGTCATATGGTGGTGTGTGTTACACAAGGAAATAAGAGTAATACAGATCTAGGGAAATTGCATTGCATATACTTGTAAGAGGGAAAGTAGCATTGAAAAAAAAAAAAAAAAAAAAAAGAGTCCCAGACAATGTGTTAAACAGTGTTTAATTAATCAAAAAATAATGAACAAAACAGAGTTTAAGAGCTATATAATGCAAACATGGTAGTATTAGACTGTCAAAAAAAAATCTGGTTTAAACACTGATCACAGAGATCATCCCTTTGAACAAAACACAAAAAACACTTCAAGCCGATTGTATATATGAAAATGATTAGGCCTTCTGCTAGCATAAGTGTCCTGCAAACTCCACTATAATGCTATAGTTCATTTATAATTTTCTCACACGCACACACACAAACAGTTGCAACTTAAATAGTCTCATAATTGCATCACTTTAATCAATAATCTGCGTTGAATAGTCACATAAATCGAGAAGTAACTGCAAAAATCTACTAACATTTGACATGGTTACAAACGTTCTCTATTTAAAAAAAAAAAAAATAGCATTTTAAAGATTAGCATGGCTAATCAGTCACTACATACATACATTCTCACAAAAGGCTTTTGAAAGCTTTTTAATGCAAGATGCATGTCCGTAAACATCTTTAGAAACAATACAATAGTGGCCCAGAATAGAATTGGAGAAAATGATAAAATTCCAAATGTTTAAGCCAACCCAAGTTTTTTCATTTGTTTGGGCACATACAGTCATAGTTGCAACACTTGCTGTTAATAGTAAAGATTAAACTTCAAGTGACAGAATGGAATTTTTTGTTGGGGAAAGGGCGGGTATAGTATAAATAGGAGCACGTATACTCAAATGTATCCCTACGAGATTTTGATGTGCATTGGGGTGAACCTCAAATGGTATTAGTTAAGTTATTGTATCTATCTATTTATCAAGCATTTTATTTGCAAATGTGAAAACCATCATGATGAAATTGTCCAACGCAAATAATTGATGGGCACTTAAATATATGATTTATCTTCTTATAATGTAGAACTATAGTTGGTCAACGACTAAAGCCATGGATATCCTTGTTGAAGTGAAGAAAAATGGGAACTAGAGTGACATGATCAGGGGATCGCAAACTGGACAACCAATTCCTCTTTAGCATCCACTTTGATTTGAGAGATTGCACTGTATGCATAAGCAGCTATTTTTGAAACCTGAAAGAAAAAAGTACATTAACCATGCCAGTCCTTAAACAATCAATAAATCAACCATTACATAATGTGTTATTGTGTCTTTACCTGCTGAACATCTGAGTATGGCACCAGGTCACTTGCAAGCACTTGATGTGGTTGACTGGTGAGGGAGGGGAGCGTGAGGGCCTTTTTGGATGACAAACTGCTTCCCAAAACAGCCAGTTTTGTGCTTTAAGATAAGATAGACTTTATTGATCTCAGAAATGTACATGTCACATTTGGCATAGATAGAATCACTCGGATTGTGTCAAAGACAGAAGTGTGCAAATTTGTTAATGGTTAAAACATACAACTTTGCATTACTTCAGAGATTATAGGAAAAACATTACTTATAAAAAAGATAATTTTATGTGCATAAAGTAAAATGTTGCAAAACTGTTGCACTGATTAACAAATCAATCTTCCTCAAAATTGTGCATGAAATAGGAAGCTGGAAACTCATGGATTGCATGATGCAGACTAAATACCTGTACTGCCGGGCTCTATCCATGTATTCATGTGGCTCCATCATATGCTGATCTGCAGCAGAAACGTCGATGATGTTCCTAAAATGAAACACAGCTGCATTGTTAGCACTAAAGCACGTTAGTAGCAGTAAATGATGCAAGTACAAAATGGGGGATATATACTGTGCTGTCTTTGTGAGGATGGACGTAAGCAGGGCCTGTTCATCTGTGCGCGCTGAGGGGACATTTGGGGTGCTCCAGTCTGTCCCATTAGGAGATTTGCTAACAATATTACTTGGTGGTATCAGGTGCTCTTCTTCCTAAAACCATAACAAAAGTTTAGGAAAAAAAAAACAATTTAAAAATGTGGCGATCACATTCAGTGCAGTGCTTCCAAATACATATGCAAAAAATAAAGATAAAGTCAATTAAAGTGGCGATTATGTGACATGTTTAAAGTGCTGTTCTGGTGTTTTATTGGGTTATAATTTCACATCGTCATTTTGTCTTTACTAATTGTTAGAATGTGTTTAATAACTATCACATATGAGTTATACACATAACCTAGAGCATTTGTTGACATGTTATGCTATAGAAGGGAATGCTAGCAGCTAGCTTACCTCCGCTGTGGGTTTGTCTTCGCTGCTGTAACAACAACCCATGTCCGCGGCCGAAGGGGAACGACAGCACACACAGCGTAGACCCCAGTACACATACAACGTGTTTATGAGTTAAATTATTTTTGATAAAACAAAAACAATAACTGTTAAACAGCGTCTTGTACAACAGGGAAATCACATGACGGCGAAAACACGCATCAGCCACGACTTCCGCTTTTGAGAAAGGTCATGTGACTTTTTCAAATAGGCTAAAGTTTTTTAATAGTGCGTGAACCCGATTCGAATGTTCACATTTTTAATAAATGTTGTGGGAAATGATGTCAGAATTAAAAACACGTGTGCATGGATGGTCCGTGTTGATGTGTAGGAGTGTGTCCTGGCCTTTCGAGCAACATCTGCAACAGCAGTGTTGTAAATCGCTGTCTCCAGACTCCAGACATGGGTGGGAGAGGGGGACGCCTACACTATTTAGGCTTTTTTCCACCACACCACATTGTTTACACTTTACTGCTGCTTAGTCGCAACAAGGCAAAGGGGGGCACAATCCCGGTGTTCGGTTTAAAGAGAATAATGCTTCCATCCTCTTTGATCTTTTTTACATTACTTGGGATTCCTCATGCAGACAGTGAGTCTGCAACTCAACATGGACGAGTGGAATCACAATCACTCGGTTTGGCCTCTTCGGTTCGCTCAGTGTGCAGACCCATCCCGAGCACGCTGGTACTGTGTCACGGGATCGGTTACAGACAAATGCGTTTGCCTAATCTCCTCGGCCATGATTCACTGAGGGAGGCCCAACAACAATCTGCCGCATGGATGCCCCTCGTTTCCAAGCTTTGTCATCGGGACACTAAGAAGTTTCTTTGCTCCATGTTCGCCCCCGTGTGTCTACCAGAGCTCAGCGCACCAGTGAGCCCATGTAGGAGCCTCTGTGAAGCCGTACGAGATGGCTGTGTTCCCGTTATGAGTGCTTTTGGGTTTCCATGGCCAGAGATGTTTAATTGCACACGATTTCCACGGGGAACCGAACTCTGTATTCCAGCTACTGGAGAGGGGGACACGCTTCCAGATGAAGAGCTCAAGAACGAGGCAATTAAAGGTTTGGATATGATTTCACTCACTCAGGGGACACATGTCACTGTCCAAAATCAGATTTACATGGTCATTACCATTGTATAATCACAAACATTTAGGACCAAAAACGAATTAATACATTTATGCCTTCAACATGTTTGCGTTTTCAAATAGATTACAAACAACTGTATTATAACTATGAATTATATTGCAGGAACCGTTATTTGTGATGCCTGTAGTCTTGCAGAAGAAGGAGAAACTGACATCCAGGACAACTTCTGTCAGAGTACATATGGTGAGTGAGTGCAGAAGAATGCATGGAATTATCCACTGTAGTCCACAGAAACCATTTGTGTTTTGCAGCAATCAAGATGCGCCTGGGAAGTGTGTCAACTGTTGGAGGAGACCGCCAGCTGGTGCCCACGCCACGCAGTCGAATCCTGAGGTGGGCAGGAGGAGGTGCAGAGAAGGCAGAAGGGACTGGTGGTGCAATGGCCCACAGTGCATTATGGCTCCAGGAGGGCAGCAGCTGTATATGCCCTGGTTTGGACACAGAGATGTCAGGCACAGCAGGAAACGGCAAAGATGGAGGGCAGAGCACTGAAGCTGAGAGTGCTGCTGTTCAGGGCTGGTATCTTGTTCTGGCTAAAGCAGAAGAGGGGAGGTTGGTCATCACCCGCCTTGTGAAGTGGACCAGAGAAGACAAAGAGCTGAAGAAATTTATCAGAGCTCTGCTCAAACAGCAATGCCCTGAGGACAATCTGTAACCAAAGTGAAAATGTACTTTTTTAGTGGTGTAAAGGAACACAATTGAAATACTTATTGCAGAGTTTTTCATGAGTTTTTCTGTAACATAAGAGCCCATCATTATCTAAATGTGGTCAAATAAGTATTATAGTCAAGGGCATTAAGTGATTTTGTGAATTTGCACTATTTTAGGTCCTTTTGATTTCAGTTGAATTTCAATACACGATTCCACCTTTCTGTTGGATTGTCTGAAATAAGGGGAGCAAAATTATTTTTATTGTTTTTGTAAGATCATTACATTCCAGTCTCCATTAGAGTGAGTTGATAGTTATTTGAATTATTAAATGCCCCATATCTGTCAGTGTTTTCTCTATCATGAGTCATGACTAAGGAGGAAATTGGACACTTATTAAACCTACCCAGACAAACACCTGCTGTTGCTTCTATATCATGTGTCGTCCTTTCAAGGCTTACTCAACTGTTTCGTCAGCAATATTGCTTTATAATATATTTTACAGCTTGCTAGAAATGTTGACTCGTCTTTGAAATTGTAATATATACTATATGTATTGGGCTCTAAAATGTATATCTATTTGAAGAACGTGTATCCCACATGAAGCATACATTATTAATACCCACAGGTCTACTAGTCTTTCTAACCAACACCACTGTCATTCTAGTCTGTTCTCCTTGCAGTACAACAATCTCTTAACGTTGCTAAGGTGAGTACAATTAATTCAATACAAGTGTCATTAAGTTGGTGGTGCAAACAAGTTTATGTATTGAGGATTTACTAACCTAGTATGAAAGTGAGGTTTAAACATGAATACATTTGTGTCTGGTTCTAGGATGGTGTCTCCAGCCATAGCACTGGCTTTTATCCCACTCCTGCTGACATTGATTATCAGATATCGCCACTTTTTTCTGTTGTTTTATCGCGCAATTTTGGTAAGAATTTGGAGAGATATTTCTACTGGCCTGAGCAGAGAGGAAAGAGCCTATGAATATGTTTTAACACACGCCACACCTGGAGACCCGGACAGCATTCTTGAGGCCTTTGATACATGGTGTACCAAAGTGGAGTTTATCAGCAACATTGGACCAAAGAAAGGTCAGTAAATAATAGTGTATTTCAAATCCAACTTCATATTATCAGCAGAAATGGTTTTACCTGATCTTGTTGTGTAGGGAAGATCTTAGACCGTCTTATGGTGGAGCAGAGTCCCCTGACAGTGCTGGAGCTGGGGACTCATTGTGGCTACAGCACAGTGCGGATGGCCAGATTCCTGTCACTGGGAGCCAGAATTTACAGTGTTGAGATGGATCAGAGGAATGCTGCCATTGCAGAGAAAATAATTCGTTTAGCAGGTTTAGATGATGACACGGTAAGTGCTTTTGTAATTAGCATTTACGTCCATAAATTATTTCTCATTATTATTTTTGGGGGTACCTTTATAAAGGTGGAGTTAATTGTGAGTCCTTCTGATGAAGTAATCCCTCGATTGCGATCTGACTATGGATTGGAAAGACTGGATTTAGTTTTCTTGGATCATTGGAAAAAATGTTACCTCCCAGATCTGCAGGTGAACAAATGACAATGTTAAAACTTAAAATATTTTCACATTGAGATTATGCCTTTAATGTTTACTTATTTGTTGCAGATGCTTGAAGGATCTGGACTTTTGGGAAAGGGATCCATTATTTTGGCTGACAATGTACTTTTTCCAGGAGCACCAAAATTTCTTAGACATATTCGCAAAAGTGGTTTATATGAATGGAAAATTCACAGAGCCACACTAGAATATAGCAGAGGCATCAGAGATGGGATGGCTGAGCTGATATATCAGGGAATTACGTAAGCCTTTTGTTTTAACCCAAAATAAACAACATAGTTATTTGGGACTGATTAGTACGAAATGGGATGCATAATGTATGATTGCACCACAAAGATGGTTCATTTCAGGTACCAAACATTTCTTTGTGAACTCCTTTTGGGATTATCTTATGTCAATATCCACAAAAGGACTGTTTCCATAGATAATGTGTCTTTATTATAGGCAACTTTGTTTTGCTGAGTACACCATTGTACATGCAGTCAGCTGTTAAAGTGTGAGGAGGCACATAACATGTGTTACAACAGTTCTGTAGGCGACACTTTAACCAGTAATAACATTTTATTACTGCAATGGCCTGCTCACAGGTATCTCCAAACATGCAGTAAAACAGCTGCAGTATATTCAAAATGCTGCAGCCCGAGTCCTGACTAGAACCAGGAAGTACGACCACATTAGTCCGGTCCTCAGGTCTCTGCACTGGCTTCCCGTGGCCCAGAGGATAGACTTTAAAGCAGCTCTCCTGGTGTACAAGTCTCTCCATGGCCTTGCACCAAAGTACATCCATGATATGCTAGTCCCATATGAACCAGCCCGGACTCTGAGGAGCGCAGGGACGGGACTCTTGTTAGTGCCCAGAGTCAGGACTAGACAGGGGGAGGCTGCTTTTCAGATTTATGCTGCTAAAGTCTGGAACAGTCTTCCTGAGGATGTGAGACTGGCTGCCTCTCTGTCAATGTTCAAATCCATGTTAAAGACTTTTCTTTTTTCCTGTGCATACAACTAGAGAATTTTATCTTTTTAACACACCTTGTTATTTATTGTTGTAACTTTTTGTGTTTTTAACTATTTTATTGTTTTTAATTACTTGTGTGATTCTTATGTTTTTAAATTACTTATGTGATTTTAATGCTTTTTAATTACATATGTGTTTTTAATTGTATTTTATTGGTGATGATTTGTGCATTGTGTGGTGTGGACTGTGAGGCGCTTTGTGTTGCCCTGTGCAGGAAAAGCGCCCTATAAATAAAGATTGATTGATTGATTTTATTAGTTACCAGTAAAAGTCATACAAAATACTTTGTTCAAATTGTCCTTGAAAAGTTAGTCAATAGACTTCAAATCATCCATTGGTCTTGATCTTGATCTGGTCCTTCCATATCCACCTAAAAACAAACACTTTGATAAAAATAATTCAAAGATATTGTTAATATATACAGATTAGGCAAATCTTTGAAACAGATTAGCAGCGTTCTCTTTAGATGTGTTCGCTATAGTTCTAAAACTGTAGTTACACTTTGGCATCTCTTATCCTTTCAAAATTATTCTTCTCAATATCCACAGACCAAACTGAGGCTATTTTAAATAATTAATTAGTTGGCAGAATTCTCTTTAGATTAATCAATTAGTCATTTAGATACCGAAAGGTAATATGGGAAACTTGTTACAGCTCGAGACTAAAGGAACTGTTCCGCTTAGACCGAAACTTGAGTCATGGTTTGTTTCAGAACACACAATGCCTTGGAAGAATACTTTATAATAATAAAAGCACCTCATTTATCTCTCCATCATCAGGTGATTCATTGTAGTCATTCATTTCATCCATGTCTTGCATGTCCTCTTCATCTTCTGAATCCTCTTCACTGTCCTCCTCGTCTTCATCGTCCTCCTCTTCTTCATCCTCATAACCTGTCTGAAGGATATAAAAAACACAGTGAAACTATTTAAAAACTGGTGTCTTTTAACTAATTAAATTAGATAGCCTTACATCAAATATTGGCTTCCCAATGGGCATCAGATTGTTGTCTTTTTCAGCAATGCTCTGCAACTGAAATTCAAGTGACGATGCATTCAAAGAGTGGAAGAAAGAAAACTGAAGGCACGAACGCATTTTCTAATTATAAATATATCTGGGTATCTTTTGCAACCGATTTCAACCAATTCTACTTAACTAAATGTAACTTTGCAAAATATTATTTACCCATGTTTGATGCTGCTGCTCTTGCTGATGTAATTCGGCTTCATCCACGCAGGGTCGATCCAAATTGAACCACAAAGACTCGGTTAGTCTTGGAAATAATGATGGGAATAGGGTGGACATGTCAGAAAACCCAGTCCACCCTGAACCACGAAGATGTCCGGAGGGAAGTAAAAGCAGAGGGAATACTCTCAGGTACCAAGCCCAAAAGAGCACTAGCACATCTTACAAATAATCACATACACGAAATAGTTTAAGTCAAATATTTCCTAATCGAACATTGAAGCTGAATTTCAAAACAAGACAACCGGAAGTACTATGTTCTTCTTAAACAATTCCGGAATAGATCTGACAATAGAAGTAAAAGGTTCCGCTCTATATCACTAAACAACGACGCCGACCAAGTTTAATTATTTACCATGGATAATAAATACATGGACATGGACCAGTGTTTCTCTAACTGTGGTGGGTGTACCACTTGAGCTCATTAGAACTTATAGCACTTTAGGTTTAGGTTAACTAAATAAATAGCTTTACTTTAAAATCAATTTCTTTATTGATGATAATAATATTGGGTCAGTTTTTTATAGCATTTTTCTAGACCCTCAAAGATGCTTCACATGGCATAATTCGTTCGCTGCAGTCATAAATTGCTACTGCAGCCCCAAATGCCCTGGGGCAGACAGACAGAAGCAAGGCTGTCTATCTGTGCTATTGGCTTCTATAAGCCACCAACATTCACACACACCTGACTCATTCTAGGAAATGTGTGTGAAGTGTCTTGCCTAAGGACACGATGACAGTTTGGCACTTTACAGCCGCAGCCACCCCACTTTAGCGTGTTCCCAGAAGTTCTCCCATCACAGTACTAACCAGGCCATAGCAGGCTCAGATCTAACAGGAGTTGAGTTTCACACAAAGGTATTTCCTTTAGAAATTGTGCCTTGCTGAGCCTTCAGCTAGATTCAGTTTTGTCCTGTTTTTGGTATTGCAAAGGCCAACATTCTTGCTGCTACTTGATGGGTTTAAGTTTTTTTCAAGGTGCTTTACGTAGAAATAATCTCTTGCCAATATTACACATCTTGGTTCAAGCTCTTAGAGGCCGTCTTATTCCTTTTTGTTGAGGGCTATTCCACAGAATGACATCTATGTATATCTATATTCCATCCAAGCTATCTTCATTGTCTTAGGTCACAATGACTCTATAACATTGTCTGCATATGACCAGCAAAGACCTTGAGATAACAATTTACTGAAGTGAGATGTAATAAACCAATCACATGTAAGTCTTCAGAGGATGGCAAACTTTGACCTTTGGACTAAAGCAGCCTGGTGAGAGCCTTTTCCCGGATATAGACCATTTACCGCAACTAGCTGCCCCAAACAACAGCATATTGGGTAAAGGAATAACCACACTTGACAGAGGTAATGTAACTAATCATCACTAATCTATGTACGATATGTTGCTGGACTTTATTGACCATGAAATCCATGGATATCAGCTGTTTGAGCCATAATAATTCAATACATAATGTACAATAATTCAACACTTTTTTAAAATAATTCATCTCATCAGTACTTACAGTGTGACAATGTCGATGTAATGCAAATGTTGTGAGGAAAGACATCACAACAATAACTGAATATTTCATAGAGAAACAGATATTTGCAAAGACTTACCATTTACTTTTTACCAAGTAGATGAGCCTGATCTATTTTTTAAAACTGAGATATCTGTTTTTGTAAATGAGCTCTTCAATAATTATTTCCTATGACCATTACATCCATCAGTCAACATTTATTTGTAAAGCATACTTTGTGTGCAAGGAAATATAAAGTGCTTCACAAGAGCAGTGGAAAACACAGATCAAAAGGCGTAATAAACAAACAAAAAGGCTGCACAAATACAACAACATACAACAATTTGCAGCTCAATATTGGGCTTAAAACTCTCATTAAAATGGGGTTAAAAACAGATAAATTGTACCAGTTGTATGCACGGCTTTTCCATACTTTAGCTGCATGAATCTGAAATTCTGCCTCCCCATGTTTAGTCCTGATTCTGGGCACCAGCAGGAGGCCTGTCCCTGTGCTCCCAGGATGATGTCCTTGTCTCATACTATGGTGGCTTATTTGTAATAACTCAATGATGTTGTGTTTTCCTCAGAATCATGTGGTTAGCTGTGGCTGTGACTCTGGCTCTTTGCAGCGGAGTTATTTCTCAAGAGGACAAACTCAATATGTGTATAGATGCTAAACACCACAAAGCTAAACCCGGGCCCGAGGGACAGCTGTACATTCAGGTGCATTTCTCTATATGATTTGTAATGACTTTGTTAAATATGCATTGTGTAGTTGTGAAATTGCAATATTTGAGGATGCCTAACATCTATAATGACAATAAAACCTCAAGAGAATCCAGTAACGTTGAATTTGGGAACTATTTTAACAGGGGAATACAAACAAGTTAATTCAACAACCTCAATTCAAACTAATTTAACTAATAAAACTGATTCGATCTAAAACAATCAATTAATCAAAAGAATAATCAGCCAACCAACTATTAACACATGAGTATTAATTACAGCCCTATACAAGAAAGTGATGGACAATTCACAAATGAGGTCAGCAAATCAGGCAATTATCAAGGTTACTTAAATTCTCTGTTCACTAACTGGATTGGAAAAGTATACTGTAGACATGTTCAGTACTTATTTTAATTAGAATTTTGATTGCCAAACTGATCGTTTCTCTCAATAGTTAAAATGTATAAAAAGGCCCCAGACCCCATGGTGCCCAGAGACAACTCTGAGTTCATCTTTATTATAATAAGTTTTATTTCATGATTCAACTGTCTTCCAGTGTGCACCATGGCGTGAGAATGCATGTTGCACCGCCAACACCAGCTCTGCAGCTCACGAGGACAACTCTTACCTGTACAATTTTAATTGGAATCACTGTGGAGGTATGAGTTCACAGTGCAAAAAACACTTCATCCAAGACACCTGCTTCTATGAGTGCTCTCCTCACTTGGGACCATGGATAGAAGAGGTAAAGTATGTCGTTATGGTTTTGTGCATGCATTTGGTTAACTCTAGATGGCAGTATATGCTCTTGAGATCTGAGATGAGACACTTTTTGTTTTATAACGTGGACAACGATGATGATGATTTACCCTTATCTTTTCGTATTGGTCTGTATGTGTGCAGGCAAACCAGAGTTGGCGTAAGGAGCGCATTTCTAATGTGCCCCTGTGTTTAGAAGACTGTGAAAGTTGGTATGAGGACTGTAAGAATGACTTAACTTGCAAAACTGACTGGCACAAGGGATGGGATTGGAGTTCAGGTAATTATCATTTGATTATGTAGATGAAAATGGATTTTTGAAATAAATAATAACAATTATAACAAGAGTTTTCTAATGTATTTACAGGCACCAATAAATGTCCTATAGATGCAAAATGCAGAAAGTGGACAGAAGTCTTCCCAAGTGCTAAGAACATGTGTGAGCAGATCTGGTCCAACTCCTACAAATACACCACTTACGGCAAATCGTCAGGCCGCTGCATGCAGATGTGGTTTACTGGTGAAAACCCAAATAAAAAAGTAGCAGAGTACTACCTGAACAAAGTTGATGGTCAGCACAGCTTCACTTTTACTGCTCTTCTTTTGATGTGTGTAACAACCTTCTTAGTTATGTAATCACCTTCAAATTACAACTCAAAGTTTTATATACTGTATTTAATGGCCATCTTTATCTATGGACTTTACTTATCAATTTTGTAAGCCTTACCTTTCTTAATCGTCCTGCCAAAGAATAAATCCTGATAATGTATATTTTATCTTCACAACTGTCTTGGAATCTAAATGCAAAACCATGATTTGAGACCTAATTATCGGATTCCTCTCTTCTGTGATACCTACGTGCAGTGCTTTGGAGAACAAAAGAAAGATAATGTTTGTAAGACCTTGCTGCTATCATTCACTCACACTCACATTTCAGCCTCTTGATCCTTGGAAAATCACTTGACTTCTATGTTAAAACTTTGATTAAAATCAGATGTGCAAAGTGATGTCATCCTGTCCCATTCTGCCAAACCTCACACAACGCTTGCTGTAATAACATTAGACACACTATTAAATTATCAAGAATAAGTCACATTGTTTTTCAGATAAAGATATAATCACTATTTACTAATAAACTCACCTCTATTTGCCTAAATACATACATTGACACACTGCTAAATGCTTTTATTTTGACACACACTGTTACTGATCTGCAGTTATAGTGTGATGATGCCATAGCCAAAAATAACTTTTAAGTAACTGCTGTCCCTGTGGCTATAAATACATAGTTTTAATAATTGACACCATCTTCCTAGAGTACAGAAATCTCATGATTGGTTAAAGTCTGTTCATCTTATTTTATTTCTATATACAACAAGAGCAAAACAGAGTAGTAAGAGTAGAGGAGTAATCCACAGTGAACATTGAACCAACATGTTTAAATTAGGGGCGGAGGGGAATATTCCCTAATAGCATCATCATCATCATCATCATCATCATCATCATCATCATCATCACTATCATGTAATAATTATTAGTATTACTATTTATAATCATGTATTTGTTTAATTGATAACTTTGTTTAGATAAATCTATTGATGTCATTATACACTGCATACAACAGTATTGTACAGAAAAGTACAAAACACATGAAAAAAGAGATCCAGGGACAACAAATAAACCGGTACAGCCATGACCTGCTATGATTCTCTGTTATTGTGGAGGGTTAGGGTTATACGCTAGAAAAAAATATGTAAATAAGTGAACTACTGCAGAAAACATGACGTGACAAGATTTCTGAAAAAGAGAAAATGATACTTGCCCCAAATGACTTGATTCTAGTTTAATAAACAAACTTTTCAAGTATGATTTACTTCCTTCTTAAACATCTTTGAGAAATGTTTTCTTAAATTATCATAACATACTTATTTTATCTAAACTCCAAGAAAAGTTGTCTGGAAAAAGGAAACAATACTTAGTTTTTAATGCTTTTGTTCTAAAAAGAACAAAAGCATTAAAAACTCAATGCTCAAACGTTATGAAGTATCATTTTCTTAAAACTATTGAAATAATCGTCCATGAAAAACTAAATTCAAGCAACAAAGAAAACTATTAATCTTTTTTTAAATATATATAGTATTTTACTTTTTCAGTGTGTTGGGCTAACCACAGGACAGACCAGTTCTGAGTATTTTGTTTTAAAAGACATTTCATAAACCTTTTTAGGCAAGGCAAGGCAAATGTATTTATAAAGCACCATTCAAACAGAAGCAACCCAGGGTGCTTCACAGGCACAGAGAGAACATTGGCAAACAAAACATTATAGGAATAAAAAAACATGAAAAATGAAATATAAACATATATATATACACACATTATACACAACTAGGTACAAATATATACATACACACATATGTACACATATAGTGTACATATACTACCGTTCAAAAGTTTGGGGTCACATTGAAATGTCCTTATTTTTTAAGGAAAAGCTGTAGATAACTTTAAACTAGTCTTAACTGTAAAGAAATACACTCTATACACTGTTATGTGGTAAATGACTGTTCTAGCTGCAAATGTCTGGTTTTTGGTGCAATGTTGTAATTGCTGCAAATGGAGGATTCTTTGACGAAAACAAAGTTGGATGTAAAACAAATCTTTATTTCGACTCTATTTTCTATTCATTTCACAACGTGGTGAATAAGTGTGACTTTTCATGGAAAACATTTGGGTGACCCCAAACTTTTGAACGGTAGTGTACATATACATATATATACGCATACATACATATATATACATATATATATACATACACACATACGCATGTACATCCTTATAAATGCATACATACGATAAAAAGTTTCCCAAAGAGCATGGGCTTATGTAAAGGCTGAGGCAAATAGCCATGTTTTAAAACCTGATTTAAACGCTTTTTAATCTGAACCACCACATTTAGATGTATTTATTTATTCTATAGCATTCATTCAAGTTTGTTTGTATAATGTATTGAGTTCAAGGAAACAAAGTGCAAAACAAAACAAAACAAAACATCCATCAGTTGTATGCACAGTTAAACAGATTTTAACATGAATTTGCACAATTTCAGCGTAAAAGCCAGTCTCACATTTTCACGAAGACTGTTCCAGATTTTCTGAAACACTGCTTCCCCATGTTTAGTCCTGACTCTGGGCACCAGCCGGAGGCCAGTCCCTGTGCTCCTCAGAGTCCCAGCAGGAGGCCAGTCCCTGTGCTCCTCAGAGTCCCAGCAGGAGGCCAGTCCCTGTGCTCCTCAGAGTCCCAGCAGGAGGCCGGTCCCTGTGCTCCTCAGAGTCCCAGCAGGAGGCCAGTCCCTGTGCTCCTCAGAGTCCCAGCAGGAGGCCAGTCCCTGTGCTCCTCAGAGTCCCAGCCGGAGGCCAGTCCCTGTGCTCCTCAGAGTCCCAGCAGGAGGCCAGTCCCTGTGCTCCTCAGAGTCCCAGCAGGAGGCCGGTCCCTGTGCTCCTCAGAGTCCCAGCAGGAGGCCGGTCCCTGTGCTCCTCAGAGTCCCAGCAGGAGGCCAGTCCCTGTGCTCCTCAGAGTCCCAGCAGGAGGCCAGTCCCTGTGCTCCTCAGAGTCCCAGCAGGAGGCCAGTCTCTGTGTTCAGAGTCTCAGCAAGAGGCCAGTCCCTGTGCTCCTCAGAGTCCCAGCAGGAGTCCAGTCCCTGTGTTCAGAGTCTCAGCAGGAGGCCAGTCCCTGTGCTCCTCAGAGTCCCAGCAGGAGGCCAGTCCCTGTGCTCCTCAGAGTCCCAGCAGGAGGCCGGTCCCTGTGCTCCTCAGAGTCCCAGCAGGAGGCCAGTCCCTGTGCTCCTCAGAGTCCCAGCAGGAGGCCAGTCCCTGTGCTCCTCAGAGTCCCAGCAGGAGGCCAGTCCCTGTGCTCCTCAGAGTCCCAGCCGGAGGCCAGTCCCTGTGCTCCTCAGTGTCCCAGCAGGAGGCCAGTCCCTGTGCTCCTCAGAGTCCCAGCAGGAGGCCGGTCCCTGTGCTCCTCAGAGTCCCAGCAGGAGGCCGGTCCCTGTGCTCCTCAGAGTCCCAGCAGGAGGCCAGTCCCTGTGCTCCTCAGAGTCCCAGCAGGAGGCCAGTCCCTGTGCTCCTCAGAGTCCCAGCAGGAGGCCAGTCTCTGTGTTCAGAGTCTCAGCAAGAGGCCAGTCCCTGTGCTCCTCAGAGTCCCAGCAGGAGTCCAGTCCCTGTGTTCAGAGTCTCAGCAGGAGGCCAGTCCCTGTGCTCCTCAGAGTCCCAGCAGGAGGCCAGTCCCTGTGCTCCTCAGAGTCCCAGCAGGAGGCCGGTCCCTGTGCTCCTCAGAGTCCCAGCAGGAGGCCAGTCCCTGTGCTCCTCAGAGTCCCAGCAGGAGGCCAGTCCCTGTGCTCCTCAGAGTCCCAGCAGGAGGCCGGTCCCTGTGCTCCTCAGAGTCCCAGCAGGAGGCCGGTCCCTGTGCTCCTCAGAGTCCCAGCAGGAGGCCAGTCCCTGTGCTCCTCAGAGTCCCAGCAGGAGGCCAGTCCCTGTGCTCCTCAGAGTCCCAGCAGGAGGCCAGTCTCTGTGTTCAGAGTCTCAGCAAGAGGCCAGTCCCTGTGCTCCTCAGAGTCCCAGCAGGAGTCCAGTCCCTGTGTTCAGAGTCTCAGCAGGAGGCCAGTCCCTGTGCTCCTCAGAGTCCCAGCAGGAGGCCAGTCCCTGTGCTCCTCAGAGTCCCAGCAGGAGGCCGGTCCCTGTGCTCCTCAGAGTCCCAGCAGGAGGCCAGTCCCTGTGCTCCTCAGAGTCCCAGCAGGAGGCCAGTCCCTGTGCTCCTCAGAGTCCCAGCAGGAGGCCGGTCCCTGTGCTCCTCAGAGTCCCAGCAGGAGGCCGGTCCCTGTGCTCCTCAGAGTCCCAGCAGGAGGCCAGTCCCTGTGCTCCTCAGAGTCCCAGCAGGAGGCCAGTCCCTGTGCTCCTCAGAGTCCCAGCAGGAGTCCAGTCCCTGTGTTCAGAGTCCCAGCAGGAGGCCAGTCCCTGTGTACAGAGTCCCAGCAGGAGGCCAGTCCCTGTGTTCAGAGTCTCAGCAGGAGGCCAGTCCCTGTGCTCCTCAGAGTCCCAGCAGGAGGCCAGTCCCTGTGCTCTTCAGAGTCCCAGCAGGAGGCCAGTCCCTGTGCTCCTCAGAGTCCCAGCAGGAGGCCAGTCCCTGTGCTCTTCAGAGTCCCAGCAGGAGGCCAGTCCCTGTGCTCCTCAGAGTCCCAGCAGGAGGCCAGTCCCTGTGCTCTTCAGAGTCCCAGCAGGAGGCCAGTCCCTGTGCTCCGAGTTGATTAACATGTCACAGATATTCTTTGGTGTGAGGTCATGGAGAGACACAAACAGAGCTGCTTTAAAACCTTTTCTCTGAGTGCAGAGAACTGAGAACCTGACAATACTCAAACAATACATTGAGATATCCAATTTGTATAATAAATAACAATGACCAAATTCATGACAGACTGCAAACATCTGACACACAAGAGTTGGGCTTTTATTTTGCACAGTGGAGGCGGAAGACCGCAGCAGCGCGCCGCTTGACGAGGCTCCATCAGCGGTGAGGATTTCCAGCCTGATTTCCGTGGCACTGGGACTCCGTGAGGGAGGGTAGAGTCTTCAAGAACCAGGGAAAGGACACAACAACGCAGCTTTACCAAACAGACACTTTGTTGGGGCCAAACTTTGAGCAGACACGTGTTGAAAGTGAGTTCCCGGGTCGAAGCCCACACACTGGAAGGGGACAAGAACTCTGGAGATAGTTCGGAGAAACTTAAGTCGAAACCCGGGCGTGTAGGGCTGTGGCCATGGCCGGGAGCGGAGGGGTCTGTGGGTTTTCTCCAATGGGCCCCACTCCTCCTCTTTGGTACCACCGGGACCTAAGTCGAGCCGCGGCCGAGGAGCTGTTGGCACGCGCGGGGAGAGACGGCAGCTTCCTGGTCCGAGACAGCGAGAGCGTGACCGGGGCTTACGCCTTGTGTGTCCTGTAAGTAACTTTTGGCAATACGGGAGAGAGGAAAAAAAGGTTGAGAGGAAGAGTTGTGTTTCCGGGCTCTGTTTTTGCCACGACAATCCCAAACCAGTCACGTCTGTGTGCCAGCGTGTGCGTGGGTTTGATCAGGACAGACACTGCCTGGAGCCTGGTTTTAGCCAAAGATTATTTATATAACATAGTTCAACTTAAAGTGCTAAACAAAACAAGACAGAAACAGTCACACACACACACAAGGCTTTCAAATCACACCAAATCACATCAAAAAAGTGAAGAGGAAATCCTTCAGTCAAAGTAGAAGCCTGTCTCACATTTTCAGGAAGACTGGTCCAGATTTATGCTGCATAAGGTTGAGTACTAAAACAGACTTGTGGCAGTGAATTTAAGCTGGGGTACCTAACAATTCTTTATTCATAAATAATAGTATTAATAATAATAATACATGAATAATAGTAATAACATTGTTGTGATGTTCATTGTTATGAACAAAATACATCCACAACACTCAGTCCTCATTTAAAACATTGTGTGCATACTAAGAAAGAGCCCTGAGAGTCACTCTGTTGACTCTTTAGGTTGAGAGCTGTCTGAAAAAGCTGATCTAGAGATTTGACAGAGGTCATCTTTGCATGCATGTGAAAACTAGAGACATAAGTCATTGTTTTTATTTTTTGAAAGTTGGCTATCACAGCTTTAATGAACCTGTGGAAGACCTGTGTTTGAATTATATGTATTATGATATTAATTTGTCTATAAAAAAAATCCTTTCCTTAGACTGGTGTTTTACAGTTTTGAGTGAACCGTGAGCCGTCTCCTGACAAATTTTATAGAATAGTCTTGACCGTGTCACATTGAATTGTACGTTTTCCATTGCGCACATAATGTCAGTTCACATTTAGGCCTGGTGGTTACCTTCTGTATTTAACATCTGCATCTCTGTGGAGACAAGCATCTGACACTGCACTAGTGCAAATTACAAGTCAGATCAAGCAGAGCCAACCACACTAACCCTAAATGTGTTCCAACTGTTGTTTAAAATAGCTGCATTAGAATAAGTGCAAAAATGTAAACAGTTATTACACAATGCAGAACAAAAGTAATCTGAAATTACTATGACGCTTATAGAACAGTTGCCTAATGTCTACTGACTAAATTAATCTGACATAGACATTTCCAGCCTCTGACTAAAACTAAATTGAGAAATACCTGCAATAGAACAGTACAAGTTGATATTAAGAACTTAGAAGAAGCTCCCCACATGCACAACCCACACAGTTTGCAGTTGCAGGAAATCAAAGGCTTTGTGATTCAGCAGTCTGACATTGACTCAACCTACATCCCCCATGTGTCACCGTGTGTCCCAGGCCAAGATCAGCGTGCGTGTGTTTACTAAAGTAGGTTTTAAAGACTTTATCCAAGCTCCCCACTGTGTTGTGTAAATGGCACCATTGATAGTGACCTATGGTTCCTAAAGCGGGGGGCAGGAGAGTCAACAGGGCTTTACACAATAGGGCTTGAATGTTGATTTCAAGACAGACTATCTAATAATCGATTTTGTGTTTTTCTTTTTATTAGATGATTACAAACATTGTGATTGTGACTTGATTTATGATGCATCTTTGAAAAGTTGGCTTTTGTTTAGAATGCATGCATCAAACAACTTCTGAAGAGAAACAAGAAAAACAATGGTACAGAGGCCAAAAGTTATTTTTTGTGGTAAAGCTAGAGTTGGGTACTTTTACTATTCCATTACTACTTTTGTAATGAATCAAACACAACATTGTTTGCTTTTTAAGCCTGAAGGGATAACTACATCTAAAGCATTTAGTATAAGACTAATAAGGATGGTTTTAAATTGGCAAATCTTCATTTAAGTCCAAATGAAAAGTCCAAGAAAATAACTGCTTAATTCAAGCATACTTTGTCTTTTTCCCCATAAGAATTGAAGAATTTAGATTATTTTGTATCCCCAATTTAATGCAGACTTTAATTTTGGAGTCATCTGGTCTAGTGTAATAAGCTCAATGAGATGAATCTTTTAGTGAGTTTTAGTGAGCTACAGACTGCCTTATTACACAGCCTGCTGCTCTTTGACCATTCCCATTATTTACCTGTTGACAAGGAAGTGTTGAACGCAAATGGCACATTTCAGAGAGATGCAAGTTTCCATTAAACTGAACAAATCCAAACTCTTCTCATTTGCATATGTGAGATTTCATAACACTTTTAAGCAACTTTTGTTAAAGTTAAACTCATCATTCTATCAATGTGCAGAAGCCAGTACTTTTCCCTTGTTGTGTCTATCTGAAGGCCAAGCTACAAGCACAACGTGGAAGCTGCTGATTGGAGGTCTCCATGCCTCCGCTCTGTATAATACACTTGCATTCTATTGTATCTGTAGATCGTGTGTTCGTGCTGTCTCTACCATCGACAATAAAACATGTCTTCTGTCGGAATGTAAGACACGATCCCAGACTTGGCACATCCTCTTCACATACTTCTAAACATCATATTTCCATGATCTGTACAGATGGTAACTGTTACAGATAATATACTCATTTTGCATCAGAGTTAACTGATTTCTTTGCTGTGGGGGACTGTCTTTCTCAGGGGTATTGAATGTTCTTGTCAGAAATAAGTTTGGTATTGACTCAACGTGTCTTTACATGTCAGGAAAGGTTTACAGTCAGAGACTTGAAACTATAGGGGAGCTTTTTATTGTGTGTATAATACTATATTACTATTGACTCCTCAACATTGTAGTAGTTCCACTGTAGTAATATTTAGTCTGATTAGGTAATTAACACTGCTGTTCAAACTAGGGCTGTCTCTGAACTTGTCTCAGTCGTGATTATTGGAATGTACATTCAGATTGGGACACAGCCATCATGGGGATGTGGACTTGTGACTCAAATCTCAACAAGAAAATTAAATTCAAATTGAAAAAAGAGATTGACCAATACAAGGGGGAAAAAAATCACATGCTATTACACTATCCTTCCAGACCTAGCGCTAACAGTTATTTTTGGGTCAACTGCATGACCATTCCTCTCTGTTTGTCCTATCAATAAGCCATCTCTGCATGTTTTGTTTCCCCTGAAACAATAGTATTTACCTCACAGGACTGTGGAGAGTCTCCTGTCTGATGCTCTCCAACACTGTTGTTTTTCCTCAAAAGCCAAAGTCATAACACTCTTAACTTTCTCTACACTCAACATGTTTCAAATGAATATTTCAAAAGTTGTTGAATCTGTTAAACCAATGCAATTGTTCAAAGTGCACTTTTCCACTTTGCACCACCTGCTTGTTGCTGAGGGGGTTTGGCTTTCCCCAGATTGTTCCACAGTGGGGCAGAGCCAGAGGGGTGTGTGATTGATTGCATTTTTATCCAGACCATGTGATTTAAAGCAGAACCTTGATTCCAGAAGTGAAATGTGCATGTCCATGTTGCAGGGCAAATTAGGATAATTGTTTTTGGGGGTTTTTTTTTGCTGAAAAACTAAATAAAACTGTTTTGAATATTTGAATCAATTGAGGTTAAATATTTTTCTTTATTATAATATTGAATATAGCAAATACCATTATTATTTTTGTCATTGGCAATACAAAAACAATTCATATATTTTTGGTCAAATAGACAAGCTGACATTTGGTAATGGAAATGCTCAATCACTTGTACATGCACAATATGTTAGGGTGAGCCTGCTATGTTTGACTCAGATAAACAGTGAAATTATTAAGTATGCTGGACATCCATGTTCAGAAGATAGCAGGACCACATAATGACCTGCAAAGACCGGAAAACCAGCGGAGCTCTCTGACAGGGAAGAATTCCTGGCATGGATTTATTCTTTCCTGGTTATTTGTATATGTTTGGTTCCATGCTGTTGCGCAGGACATGGGCTAGTTTTTGTTAACTCTCGCTTTGCAACAATGGCAGCTGTACGTAGCATAAGCACAAACTGCTGCGACATTAGATTGACAAAATGGACATTTTGTGTCCGGTCCACTGGACAGACATAGTAGACATCAACCAAAAAAAATCATTGAAGTGGAGGCTGCAGGCATGCTGTGGTAGTCTCACTGTTGGAAGTATTGATTTTTAACTGTTTTAACATTATATTCGTTGAAAGTGGATTGCAGACACAATCATTGCTGCTTGGTGTTTAACAATAGTATTATTTTTGTTGAGTGATTGTGTGCCAGTGTTACTGTAAGTGTAAAAGACACAGCCTATATCCTTTATGATGGACAGTGACAGGTGTGGGTTCTGCATAACATGTACCCCCCTCCATAGGCCCATGTAAACCGCTTTGAGACTCAGATCTGCAGTGAAAAGGCGGTATATAAATAAAGATTACTTACTTACTTACTATGTGTATGCTCTATCAATTATCTATTTTCCAAAGACCCTGTAAGTGTGAATATGTTAAAACAACACTATAAATCTTAGATGATGTTTTAGCTTGGCATATTAACTGCAGATAGACATTTTCACTGTCGTTATTATGACGCATGTACTCTGTAATTACAGATGTTAGTAATTATACAATGTTCCTAACACAGAGAATAGTACATTGCCTGCTCAAATGTTCACATTTTCTATAAACATACAAGCATTTCACTGCTTTGTTCAAATGATAAGTCAATATTGGATCGTTTAGTTGATATTATACTTGTTTGTTTCCAGGTTTCAGAAGCATGTGCACACTTACCGAATCCTCCCAGATGAAGATGGCTTTCTGGCTGTACAGGTACAATCTTAATTTGGGTGTGTCCTGCTGGCGTGTGTGTGTGCTTCTGGATTTAGTTGGTTTGCGTGGTGTCAGACAGGCAGTGGGCAGAGATGCTGTTGTTGGCTCTTGAAACACTTACACATGTGTGGGGTAACAGCAGCCTCTTTGTGTCTCGTGCCCAACAGCTGTGAGGTCACCACCAACTAGGGCTGTCTCTGAACTAGGGCTGGGCGATTAATCGATTTTAATCATTAATTCGAGTTTTACGTTTAGGGCGATTTCTTTTTTTAAAAATTCGATTTTTATTTTCTCCAGCGCAGAACTACAGCCCTAACCGCGGGTCTATGGTGTTGAGCAGTCATTTTGAAGCTAACCTAATGCTAACAGTCTCCCTCTGGCCTGAGGCTCGCTCTCACAGTTGGTGCTGTTGCAATAACACTTCAAACGTTCAAGAATCAGACTTTATTTAATCGCCAGAACACACACACACACGCACGCAGGCTCCGGTCGTTATGTTCGTACGCCATGTTCGTACGCCACATCTTTCACGCTCTCTCACGCTCGTTATTCCAAAGCGCACTCCCGTGTCCGTGGCGCGCACACACTCGTGTCCCACTGAGCCGCTGCACTTTGTGGAAAGACACGTCTCACACATTGCTCTCATTGCTCTGATACAAACAACGTGTTCCCCGCTGTCTGTTAGCTACAGTAGCTGCTACAGTAGCTGTTAGCTACAGTAGCTGTTAGCTACAGTAGCTGCTACAGTAGCTGTTAGCTACAGTAGCTGCTACAGTAGCTGTTAGCTACAGTAGCTGCTACAGTAGCTGTTAGCTACAGTAGCTGCTACAGTAGCTGTTAGCTACAGTAGCTGTTAGCTACAGTAGCTGCTACAGTAGCTGTTAGCTACAGTAGCTGTTAGCTACAGTAGCTGCTACAGTAGCTGTTAGCTACAGTAGCTGCTACAGTAGCTGTTAGCTACAGTAGCTGTTAGCTACAGTAGCTGCTACAGTAGCTGTTAGCTACAGTAGCTGCTACAGTAGCTGTTAGCTACAGTAGCTGCTACAGTAGCTGTTAGCTACAGCATCAGAATGTAAACAGGAAGCTCGGACAATGTGGGAGTCACTGAAGTTAGTATTAGCGCCACCAGCTGGACCGAGCGTTGTACTACAGCACAGTTACTCAGGCACAGTTGAAAGAACAAGCATGAAAACCCGAGGAGGCTTTTGGAAAAGACTGTTACAACATTTCTATTTTGAGTAATCAGTTTTAAAAATGTGATATTTCATGTAAATAATGCATGTGTTTAATAGGATTGATATATTTGGCGATGGGCCTTGTTTGTGTGATTTAAGTTATTTTGAAGGTGCATAGTGTCATTGTAAGTGAAGTTATTATAAAACTGTTAAGCTACATTTTCACTGTTTACAATGGCAGAGCCATCTCGTTTACAAGCATGTTTTAAGGCTTAATTCCTGTTACACTTATGCTCCATGGGGATTTAGATTAAACTGCATAAAGGAAAATCTATTTTTTTGTCAGTTGTAGTTTGTTTTTAAATAGAAAAAAATAAATCGATTAAAATCGAAAATCGGATTTGGTGTGAAAAAATTGGAGATTTTTTTTTTTTGCCATATCGCCCAGCCCTACCACCAACACTACCCCACACACACACACGCACACACGCACACACGCACACACGCACATATCTTGGGTTGCATATGACGTCAGGGCAGTGGCGGAAATGACATACGTGGGACAGGACGTGACGTAGCCTGGCGGTGCAGTCTGCCGACTATGTACTCGGAGATATGTAGAAGAAGTGCTAATATCTTAGCTAACAGTCTTCAGCTAAAATGCCATCATTTTGTGCGGTGTACGGTTGTAGCAACCGCGCGAATAGAGAGAAAGATAAGAGTTTTTTCGCTGTTCCAACTGTGGTCTCATATAAAGGAGTACATTTTGAAAAAATCACTCGAATGAGGCGGGCGAGGTGGATCAGCAATCTCCGACTGAAATCGGGTGGCGCGACCCGGGCTAGTGCTAAAGTTTGCAGCGATCACTTTGTAACAGGTAAGAGCTGTGTTATTTCTTTAATATTGTATCTTTGCATGTTTTTAATTACACCATATAATTGAGACCAGCACTACTTACAGGCTGGAATAGCATTGTATCTTTTTGCCAAAGTAAAGATATCTGTGTTGTACTAACACATTTCTGATGTAATTTGATTATTTCAGGGCGCCCAAGTGCCCCAACAGATGTGAACTCCCCAGATTGGGCACCCACTGTCAACCTTGGGTACAAACGAGGCCATGCGGAACCACATGACGCAACACAACAGAGTGAGGAAAGCGCACAGAGTCATAACAACCTCTTTACTGCCGCTGAGCTGGAGACTGACACCTCTTCACCCAACTTGTATGATGAAAGTTCATCAATGCATGAAGAGGAACGTTTCAAAGGTTTTTATAACACGTTTTAATTGCTGTTATGTTTGATAATTATTAGAAATATGAAATGTGTCACAATTCTTTCTTTACATAATGTGTAGATGCAGAATGCCAGACCGATCTGTCCATGATGGACATCTCTAAACTGGAGGACACCATGAGAGGATATACATCAGAGATCTGCAACCTCAGGGAGAAAGTACATAACTGTACCTTGACCCCAGAGACCTTTCAGAATAATGAAAAAACTAAGTTCTACACAGGACTGCCCAACTGTTTACTTTTAATGCAAATATATAATCTCTGTGAACCATACATAACTACATCACACTTGTCCACACTCTCTAAATTTCAACAATTTATTATGATACTCATGCGACTAAGATTAAATCTTCAGCTCCAAGATCTTGCCTATCGATTTAATGTATCAACAGCCACTGTGTCTCGAATTTGTGTCAAATTAATTCACATTCTCCACAGAAGACTTGAATTCCTAATTGATTGGCCTGAACGAGAAGTATTACAAGCCACCATGCCCATGTCATTCAGACAAGCATTCGGACTTAAAGTTGCAGTGATATTGGACTGTTTTGAAGTATTCATTGAGAAACCAACAAACCTTTTGGCAAGAGCACAAACCTGGTCCAATTATAAGCACCACAACACAATCAAGTATCTTATTGGCATTGCTCCTCAGGGTTATGTTACCTTCATTTCACAGGCATGGGGAGGGAGGACTAGTGACAAAGAAATAACTGAAAAATGTGGGATCTTAAATAAGCTACTTCCTGGAGATGTTGTGCTTGCAGATAGAGGGTTCACAATTGAAGACAGTGTAGGATTTTTCTGTGCTTCTTTGAAGACTCCAGCATTCACACGGGGGAAGAAACAGCTGTCTGCTTATGAGGTTGAAGAAACTAGAAAACTTGCAAGTATCCGCATCCATGTAGAAAGGGTAATTGGTTTAGTTCGCAGAAAGTATCAGATCTTGCAGAGTAGGGCAATGCCTCTGGAACACATGGCAGTCAAATCAAGTGATTCAATGGCGCTGATTGACAAAATCACTGTCATTTGCTGCGCTTTAACCAATCTTTCTGAATCTATTGTTCCTCTGGAGTAAGAATGGCTTTTAGCTTGTTGTACATTTTGTGAAATATTGTAAATACATTTGACAGTTTGCTTGTTTTTGTACCACTTGACTAAACTTTCAGTCATGGTTGTTTTGAAAAATGTGAATTTAATCATTTCTTATCCATAAAACATTTGAAACAGCAACACATTTTAAGTGCTTTCATTTTTCTCCATTCATGAATACAACATTCAATTACGTAGTTATTTATTCTCTAGAGAAATGTAGTCCTAAAATTTCAGGAAGGATGCAATTTCTCATGTATTCCTCAACTATGGGGATTCCAGTATTCCAAAGCACCTCATTGCGCAGCACTCTCTCAACAAATAGATCCTTTGCATTCCAGACAATGAAATCACAATACTCAACATCAACAATATGAAGCTGTGCTTGAATCTGGAAATAATAGGGATGTTTTCTGTCCAGATGCACACCATCCTCATCCCTTATGAGACAGAAGCCAGGCTGCCCAGCACAATTCTGCAGCTTTTCTTCATCTTGTCTGCTATGTGGACACTGAAGAGTAAAAATGACACATTATGGGAATTATTATGGGCTCATTCTATACATACTTTTGCGAAACTCTAATTTCCATGGTGACAGAAGGGCAAAAAACTGCTTGACTAGCATGTCGCAAAAGACGTATACATATTAATTTATTTCAATCTGATATTGCCTCATTTTCATGCCACAATCTCCCAAATTCAATATCACAAGTAAAGTGTTAAAGGCCTTACATTTGGTTCAGTCAACTTAAATAGTAGTAAAAATCTATACCTTTATTTCACAAACTCCTGTTCCATGGCAGTCACAGGTAACAATTCCATCCGGTGAAGCTCCCATGTATGGCCACTTTGAGTTCAGCCACAACCCACTGTCCATACATGAGAACCCCTCATGAACCAAGCGCTGGTGTCTGATGTAAGTCTCTCTGGCTTTCGATTCGTTCTTACACCCATATCTGTAACGTAAAAGGATTTTTCATTACCAACTGGATGAGAATTGAATAATATAAATGTATTATACCCTTGCCAGAACCGCATATTAAACATAATAAACATGTTCTTCCTCCCTCACCTTTCCCTAATAAATACCTCATTGCTGCTGTTGACAGTGTTTGCACTTCAGGGTAGCAAATTGTTTTAATTAGTGCTTTGGATGGGTTTCCTGGACTGCTGTGCAACACTTGCTTTAGCTTGGATGCAGTAACCCTTCCTGCCCTTTGCTTGAACCAGATAGAAGAGGAGCTCTGGTTTCTTGTTGCTTCCTCAACTGCTTGAACTTGCTCCTGGCTTATTTCCTCGAAAACAAAGTCCCTGCATGCTCCCTGCAGCTCAGATGGAGTAAGCTTCACACTCTCAGCTGTGCGGTAATCGATAAGGGGTTTGGGGAGTTTGGAAAAAGACTTTGGAACAAAATCTAAGTGATAAGGTTCCCTA